ACCTGTTGCTTGTATTTTTTAAGGGTTGGAGCCTTAGGTATTCACTAGGGTGGGTCAAACCACTTCACTGTGTCATGGCACTGTATGTGGGGGAGGGGTCAGAGAGGAAACAATGTGGATTGTTCGACTCTGGTCCCACTTTCAAGAGACTGGAAGTTCATCCTGCCACCATACCCCCCACCAGTTTTTACTGCCAGAGTTTGAGGCTTTATCTTTGAGGCACTGGAATCCTGCTTTGCATGGTCTGTCTCGCTCACCAGTTGTTCCTCCCACTTTATCCACATGTGAATGTCGGACCATCCAGTCCACTAGTCATTGCCTTGCCATGCATCCTCTCCACCCCCAGCTGCCTATTTCTATCAGTCTGAATGAATGCTTCTTCTTTTACTCTTTGGTTGTCAGACTTCCATGCAGTTCAAGTTTCTGGCTGTTCTGGTTGCTTTTTGTTTTTAAATTGGCTGTTTCCTTCTTTTGTTCATGCAAGGAGGCAAAGTGTATCTATGCCTCTATCTTGGCCAGAACTCCTAGAATGTTAGGCTTTTGGGTACGATTTGGGCAGGGGGAGAAATACAAGCAAGCCACTATGACCATCACACAACTAAATTGTCCAGCTAGAGAGCAAAGGTTTATGCCTGATGACCATCTACATTTAATTCCTCCAAAATTAGCATAGCCTAAGAACAGAAAGCTGAACACAACCCTTTGGAGACAGCCACACTTGAAAAGTAGGAGGAAATTCAAACAGCAAAATAAACCAGAAAGAGCAGTAAAAGGGAAGAAAAGCAGAATATTACAAGGCCATAACAAGGAACAAAAATTTAAGAATCTTAAATGGCGTCAAATGCAGTGAGTTCAGAAAAGAGAAGTGGCAAAAAGTGATTTGATTAGGAGGAAGTTAGCAGTGGTTTCCGAGGTTAAGTGGTTTCTAACTGGGCAGGTGGTTTCTGTGGTGGCTTATGTGGAGTAAGATATTTAGATGAACAATTTATTTCACACAGAACATAAAGAGCCATTATAATTAGATTCACTCACTCGTTCATCTACTTCATTAACATTTGATGTGCTCTTACAAGTGCCTAACTGTACTAAGTTCCATGGGGTAGAGATACCTAATAAAAAGCCATAATTAAGTCACTCTGGCTTCTGTCTCACAAGGAATCTGGATGAAGTTGTAGACCAATGACCTAAAAATGTTAGTCTCATTTCCCTGTAGCTGTTTCAGTTGATGTATTCTTTTATGAAATATCAGCCTTTTGTTTTCTTCTATGAATTAAAAAAAGTTGGGTTAGCCACTTCATAGGCAAAGTTTACTGCCTCAAAGGGGAGCAAACTAAAAAATCAAACCTCAATGTATCTTATGCATGCTAAGGAAAAGCAGACTTGCTATTTATACTGTTAGTGTTTTTCTACAAGTACAAAAAAAATACCCACTCAGAATAGTCCAAAGGAACAGTAATTCCCTCATTTTCATAAAAATGCATATATTATTTTACTTCTCATAATTTAATTGGTTGTATTGGCCGAATCACTAGCAGAGTACCAACTTGGATTCTGGCAGGAGGTGAAATACATCATGTCTCAAAGAATCCTGTGTGAGCTTTCAAGAAAAACAGAAATGGCATTTATACTTTGTATTAGGTATTTATTTCCATAAAACTTGGTGCCTAGAACATACATCCAACCCTTTTTAGGAATAGGCCAAAGCTGCCAAGATTTCCCCACTTTAAGAAAATATACCCATGGAGCTCTGCTTCTGAAAGTGGAGTTCAGAGCTGCCTTGCCAAGCAACCTGATGCCTAGAGTGTGACAACCCACAGAATACCTTTGGCACATTGAAGGTGGAGGTGAATTTTACAAACAAGTATGCACATGCACACAATGGCTATAAGGGACTTCTACAACTAAACAACGAAATAAACCTACCTTAAAAATAAATACATCAACCTACCTTAAGGGTGATATGTGGTGCTTTTTTTCTTTCTACATTCCATATTTTTACTTTTTTTTTCTTTTTGATAATGAGGGAGAACTTTTAACTTAAAAAAACTACTTAAAGAAAACTTTAAAAGGTTTTTCTAGGTCATCTTAGTGAAAAATCCCTATTGGAAAAGTGCTCTAATTATCCTCTAAATATTTTCTTCTTTAGCTTCATTAATTCTGTCAACCCATTGGTTGCAACTGAACAGCAGCAGGAAATTGGTGTTTGGTGGCAACTGAACAGCAACAGGAAATCCCAGTTTGGGTTGTGGTGAAGAAGGAAACTTTATTCAGTGAAAACGGTTCGATTGTAATAGCAGCATGGCCATCACAGCTTTGGAACAGCTCAATAGTGTTACAGTTCAATTATGAAACAGCATGGCTATGAAACATGACTGTGTGGTGACTGTGGGATGAGGTAGCCCTGGGACAAGGCAGCCCTGGGTTGAGGTTCCTCTCCCGTTAGACCACTCTGCTCTGTTCTGTCTGCTCTTTTCTGTTACACTTTGTGCAGGCCTGCTCCTCCTTGCTCTGGCATGTCTTAGGTGTTTCAACAACAGCTGAGGAAATGCAGTCTTTGATCTTCAGTGGAAGGGCAAAGTATGCTCTCCAAGCCAGAGGGGAGCTGACATATAAACATAAGTCCCCATCCCTGGTTCCTTATGGGTCTTTCCTCATGCAAATGAAGACTATTAAGCCTTGCACTTTGGCCTAAAAGAGACTGTTCTGATTGATCATAATGGAGCCACTCTGATTGGTCAGTAAAGATGCTGAAGGGGATATAGCAGTACAACTCTGACTGGACAGGGTTGAAATACACTTCCAGAAACTCTTTTATAAGGGCTGGTTCAGATGTCAAGTATAAGCAGGCAGCTCAGTACAGGCTTCCTCTCCCTAAAGGGAGAAGGGCTGTTTAGAAACAGCTTCTAGCCTCTGCTTTTAAATTTGAGCCTGGTTAGACACCAGGAGCTATGAGTTGGTATCTTCTTTCTCAGTGTCCACAATTCTAACAGCCAAAAAAATCTAATTTACTGCATTTGGGGAGCCCCTAGTTTTCAACTATTTTATCACTTTCCCTTATGTCAAAAGTCACCTACCTCATCGTGTTTTAATGAACAATATCCTCTTTCTGCAGTAACTCCAAGCATTTAAAAACATGTACTTGAAAGTTATTATTTATCTTAACTGGTAGCTAGTAGTTTTTGTCTACTTTATAACTGTGATTAACTCACTCCCTTACTATCAAGGACTGTGAGGATGTATAGCCATCAGAGATGAGCTAGGTTCTAATAGATGTACAAAGAAACCCAAAACCAAAGAAAGAACTCCATTTATAGTCAAGTTTTAAAAGTTTTCTTATCACCCTGAAGGTACTGGTTAAATCTATCCAACTTCTTAAAGCAAATTATACAAGAAAAAAGTCTGAGCTCTGGGAGAATGCTAAGAGTTTGCTATTTCATAACAAGGAGTATAATCTTTTCACAGGGAGTAGGTTTTTATAAACAGAGACATTACTTGTATGTGGTTTTATTATTTTTATTAAATTTATTGGGGTGACATTGGTTATCATATAAGGTTCAAGTAAAATATGATAAGTGAAGTAAGTCAGAAACGGTAAAGAACCATACAATTTCACTTATAGGTGGGACATAAAACTGAAGGCAACAAATGAACAAACAAAAATCATAGATGCAGACAATAGACAATAGTATGGACATTTTTAAAAAATCCTTACCTGAGGATATGTTTATTGCTTTTAGAGGGAGAAGAAAGGAGACAGAGAGAAGCATCTATCTGTTGCCTCTTGTACATGCTCCCACCAGGGATCAAATATGCAAACTAGGTATGTGCCCTGACCAGGAATCAAACCTGCAGCCTTTTGGTGTATGGAACAATGCTCCAACCAAATGAGCCACTCAGCCAGGGCGGGACATTAACTTTTTTTAAAGAGGTAATCTATAGCTCAGTTTTACACTTCTTATCTAAAACTTTACTCTAAGTAGAAATACAGGGCTTAGCTGTCTCAGTGGAAAACAACCATTCAGCAGATTCTCTTTTTCAAACAAATATTGATTAATTGATTCCAGAGAAAGAGGAAGGGGGAGGAAGGAAAGTTGGGGAAGAGAAAGAAATGAGAGAGAGAGAGAGAGAGAGAGAGAGAGAGAGAGAGAGAGAGAGAGAGAGAGAAATCGATGCGAGAGATACATTGATCAGCTGCCTCCCACACGTGCCCCACCCAGGGACTGAAACCACAATCTGAGCATTAAGCATTTGCCCTGACTGGGAATCGAACTTCCAACCTTTTCATTTATAGGATGACACTGCAACTAACTGAGTCACACCAGCCTGGACTCCAGCAGATTTTCTAAAAGTGAATTTAAGTATGATAATTTTAGAGGAAAACAATATTTATTGTGTAAAAGTTTTATATTTATTAATCAAAGGCACAAACCCAAACTAAGCTTAAGTTGACCATAACATTGACAATTAAGTCATATCAACTTGGTAAGGAAATATGAGCTAAACGAAGCTAATGAAAATAAGTTGCTTTAAATTTCTCAGGAAAACACAGTAATTCCAATATCATTAGTCAGAACCTTTCGAATGACAGAAGAAATATAAACATCACTATAAAAACCTTAACTTGGAGGCAGAGAAATGTAAACTGTAAGTGTGCTATTATCTGATATGTCACAGACCACTGGTAGTGCCCTTTAGTCTTGGGTACCTTAGGTCAGAGACCCTTACTACCATCTGGCAAATCTGATGGGTTCCATCCAACTCCTGACCAGAATTAAATTGCACAATGTCACTCTGTGCCTATCAGCAGAACAGAGAGAGACTAATCAAAACATTTTAACTTCTTAACACAAATTATGCAATCAAAACACACAACCTTAACTGGGAAGGAGCTAGTTTGAAGGGGGTCAATTTCCCATTTTATAACAGTGCATCAAAATAGAATATCCAGTGTCTTTCAAAGCCCCTACGTTGAGGAAAACAAAAACCAAGAGAAACACAGCATTGTTTCATTTACAATTTACTAGCTCTTCCAGCATTTCAGAGTGATAAGGGAGTTTCAATGACCTTACATGATGAATGGGACAAAAGGGAGACTTATAACATATTAAACAAATGTCTAGATTGTATCAGACTATTGGTGTAGATTTTTTGTCTATGGGTAATTAGTCAGTTTTCCAATCAGGCAATCCAGTAGTTCACAGTGGGGAATATAAATGTCCTAAAATTAAAGAAAAAAAGTTAATTTACTTATAACCCAAATTTCAGTATCTGTATTCACTTGCACACATTCTAATCGATTCTACTAATGAAGAACTTCATGTGTTCCCAGTCAGGGGCTCAATTAAAATGTGAAGCATGCCCTATGGATTAATCGAGCCAGCAACAGTCCTCACATTTTACCACTCAAATACTGAAGTTACTGAAACACACATTTCCCCAAAATCTGGTTCCTGTTTAGGCTAGATGCATTTATGGCTCTAAAAATAGTCCACCAGATGACTGTGATTATGAGAACTAGGTCAAAGACTAGGGGAGCCCTGGCTGGTGTAGCTCAGTGGATTGAGCACGGGCTGTGAACCAAAGCATCGCAGGTTCGATTGCCAGTCAGGGCACATGCCTGGGTTGCAGGCTATGACCCCCAGCAACTGCACATTAATGTTTCTCTCTCTCTTTCTTTCTCCCTCCCTTCCTTCTCTAAAAATAAATAAATAAAACCTTTAAAAAAAGACTAGGGGAAATGCTACTATTAGTCAAGAACAGAGTGTGATTGCCAAGGAACCCTATTTCTCTTCACACTAGGTTCAAATTTGTTAGAAAGTGGACCACTTAGGATCTTGAGGCTGGGCATGTGTAGGTAATCCCAAAAAGGCTAATCTATCTTTTTTGGCTATGCCTTGTATTTAGAGGTCTGAGCTGCCTATGTGGGACTAACACAGTACCAATAAGATTTGAAGGCATTACTAGACCAGACCTTACGGCAAACTTACTCCATCCATCACATACACAGGCTGAAGCAAACACAAAGACTGACAGAGCTGAGGACCAAAATGAATGTACCTTAAAGTTGTAGAGGAGTAAGCCGTGTAACATTGGTTACACTATCTCATACTGGTTATTTGTTATAGCTCGAGAGAGGCAGTAAGCAAGAAAGATTCCAATCAGCTGCAAATAAAATGTAAGTTAAATTAAATATACACGGCAAAGAGCTTAAAGATCTCGGGGTGTAGGTACAGTCTCCTTCACTTCTAATTCACTAATGATTTCCTTCCTTAAGTTTTACTAAACAGCTATGTTTGCTACTCTGTAGCACCTAGATCATAGTCAACCAATATAACTGCAGTTTTACTACTACTGTGACCTGAAATTTCATAACTATCACTGACAAAAAAATCACTGAAGGAAAATTCTAAATGTCACAAATTTGAGGAAACTTTTCTTACTCTTACTCTCAGTTATCAGAACAAAAACAGTGTGGCTTAGAATAAGTATCTTATCAAGTAAAATCTCCATCTGTGAGGACAGAGATTTTCTTGGAGGGTCTAGAGAGTGTTGCAATGCTGGCAATGTTATGTAATACCTCTTCAGTCCAGTAAGGTTGCCACTAACCACTTGTGACTTTTCAACTTCAAATAGGGCTTAGAGTAAATGAAACAAATATTAAATTTCATTTAATAACTAGAAACTTTAAAAGGTGGTTAGTGGCTATTTTATTAGACAGTGGAGATTCAGACATAGCTATGCCTGTTACTTTAGAAATATATTGAGATTAGACTTTATCAAAATATTTTAGTCTTACCTTCACAATGTTTAATGGGAAAAACTTTATCCCTAAAAAAATTGTCTAGAGCCACAATATGGACTTTCCATGCTACTGTGAGACATAGCAAAACTCAAGAAATACAACTGTATCCACAATATAGCATCTACCCAAAAGATAGACACATATTGAGTGTGGGGTTATATGATCAAATTTTAATAGGCTGGGACTTATATGCAACTCATCAGGCAGTTGCAGCCCAGAGGGAAAAAAAGATTCTATTAATGTTTTAAAATCTTGACTGACTGCAGAGCAAAGCAAGGTTCCCATCTATTTCATGTTTTTTTTTTTAATGAACTGTGATATTAGTAAGTTGCCATAACTAAAGGGTACCAGATCTTTCTCCAATTAACTGCTTTCAATATATATATACTGGTAGAAGTTAATTTTAAGCCTTGCTTTTTGTAGTTTCAAGGCATGACTGGCAATGGTAAAAAGAATAGGTTAAATGGGAATAAAAACCTAGAGAACTTCATAATTGTGGAAAACAATGTAGAAAAATAAAAGATCCAAGACATGAAAAGTATGAAATGAAAAGAGCAAAACATTCCTTCTCAAATACGGTAAATATAGACCCCATCACAAATGATTTACTATATGTTTCATATACAAAATAAAAGTATTTCTATACTGTGATGAGCAACTGAGAGTTTTGTGAAAATGTAATTTCTCTGAAAATGCCTGTACTGTCCAGGGCCCTAAAGCAAAAACTTAAAGCCTTCAAAGAAGAAATCTTCTAGCTGACACCTATAAAAGTGATGAAATAGTTCCTAAATACAAGGATTTACCTGAAAACAAGCAACTCCAAAGGAAATTCCAGCAACGACTCCCATTTCTGATTCTATAATGGCCATGACCTTTATAAAACAACCCTAATGGGAGAGGAAAAAACCATTAAGTACAGCACAAACATAACATTTGCATCATACATGTCTGCAGAAAGATAAGCTTTAGCTATGCTAGCTTTTACCATTTTATTAAAACTTACTTTCATGTAACAAATCCTGTCTCTTTTCAAGCATTTTAAAAGGAGGTTTTGACAGAAGTTTAAGGAACAGAAGTTTCACTTTTTAGATTACACATTTAAAAAAATGTTTCTTGCTAATTATATGAACTCAAGTCACAAATTTTCTGAGTTTCAGTTTCCTCATTTACTCAATGAGAATAATACCTACCCTATTTCAGATTATGTGTATTGAGTAAAAATTAAAAATTAAGTCAACTCTGTATTCAGTTAGTATCTACAAAATTTTTTAAAGGCTGCTTACTTCATTGTTTACTTTATCAGGATCTCTCTGAGGAGAACAATCTTCAAGTTTACAGCAGCTCTTGGGAAATCCTTTTTCTAAGTAATAATTAGTGTCCTTCCAATCTCCAAAGTTGGTGGCACCACAACAATGCAACTGAAAAATCCCAACAAAAACGTTGATACTTCATATTATAACTTTGTTGTCAAACATTTAACCTATCATCTTAGATTACAATTTGTGTTCAAGACATTTATTATATTTAATGATATTTTGTGTGGCTATCCTCAATTATAATTTGAAACATGAACACTTGTTTCAAACATCAAATGTTTCTAACATTTTTGGACTGGCCTTACTTTCCTGCTATTGTTGGTGATCCTCTCCCATGATGTCAGCAGGGAGTGAAAGTTTCACATGTGAGAATGATTAGGAGAAAATGGGGATATGTCCCTTAGTATCATTATACTCTTCTTTCCAGGGACATGTCTCCATTTTTTCCTAATCTAAGATTATAAGAGTATAGGACAAGTGGACAATACCTACTAGCCAGGACCCTATCCTCCTCTCTCAGGGGACAAGAAATGTGCTCTCCTCTTGGGAAGCTACCACCCCACTTACCGTATTTTGAATCTTGTCTACTGCATTGCTTCTATAATCTCCCGTAGCATTATACTGCTTTAAAGCTTTCTCATAATTATTCTTAAAGCTGTTCTTAATCTACAGCAAAGAAACACAAGGACAGTAAACAAAGATTCTAAAAAAGTTCTTTTAATTTCTAGGTCAAATAAGAAATTCCTACATTTTGAGGGGGGGAATGCAGACAACTGTACTTGAACAATAAAATTTAAAAAAGAAATTCCTACATCTGGCCAATGGTCATATCTTTGACAACAGTAATATGCATGGTAATTAACTTATATGGTCCAATCCTGTCCTCCAAGGGATATAGTTTAGCTGAGTGTATTACTAAGCAAAACACTGCAATAAAAGATGATAAGCATCACAAGTACAAAGTGCTGTGGGAACATGTATTTATTCAAGTGGCAGCTCTATACTGCTGTATCCCCTAGCCCCCAATCTTTATCCAATTTAAACAGTATAAATTTGATACCTATGGAATTTTTAAGCTACAGAATCTTACTTTGGGAGACTATACTACCAGTTTGTGAAATGCTTTCATTGCTGAGCCTTCACTGCTCACTGAATCATTTCCTAACCCCAGGCTTAACAGAGTAGAACACTGATTTCTAAATCAATATTAAGATTTTCATGATTTGAATTAAGTATATCTAATCTTCTCTGTGTGGCATAAGTGGAGAGGGTGTCAATTTTGTGTTTTAAACAATTTCATATCAAAGTTATAAATTGTACTATTTCCACTTTAATAGATACTTATACACAGAAAAATGACTAAAAATACATGTGATTATGTGTACCTTTAATTTTGTTCTGGTAATTGTTAGTGTTCACAGTTTTCTACATCTTCTTTTATATTAAAAGTGGGCTAGAATTTTTATAAGAAAGCCATTACAGGTTGCAAATTAAAGCTTTAAACACAGCTGTGAGTTTTAAACTAGTAAAAGCTGTCTTTAACTCTGTGACTTAATCCCTTTTATCTCCCAAACTCAGGCTTACCTCATGTCTGAAAACAAAACCTACGATGGCAGCGACCAGTTCAACCAAAAAAATGAGAGTTAGAAACATTGCATACTGCAGGATAAAAAGAAAGTCCAAGTCAGCATAAATAAGATACATCACAGCTGCAAAGGAAGTCAAAGGGGAAAAATGGTTTGTTCAGTCTGCGTGGTTTTTTGTTGAAAAGGACAGGGAAAACACAATAAAAGTGGTAATTAGCAGCTGAACTATTACTTGGTAAGTTTTCATAAGGAACAAGAAAATTCTTAAAAGGCCATGGCCAGTTCCAAGAAACAAAGCCTACAAAATACATGTAAAATTTGTCAGGAATCAAGATTCAATTCTAAGCAAAATTAAGGACTCACCAGTTTTAGCATCCACGTAGAACTTCGGCAGGTAGCAAAACAGCCGAAGGTGCCCAAAAGAATGATGACAGTGCCAGTGCCAATGAGCACAAAGGGAACATTGGTGGCCTTCTCATTTAAAAGAGAAAAATAATTCTCCAGGCTCACCTTGCCCCAAATGCCAATGGCAAGAAGAATTACACCAGTGATCTATGCAGGAAATCAGAGAATATAAAGTTATACACTGTATACTGAAAGTTATATGCTATATATTCAAGCCACAAACCACTCAGTATGTAAGAAATAATAGGTGTGACAAATTATTTAACAGTGTGTGGCCACAGATCTGTGGCTGGGATATGGCAAACAAGGTGGGTCATAGAGGCGGGTACAAACAGGATCTGCACACAAGGACAGGCCTTGATAAAGCCACCCGCAACACCATCAGGTAGCCCAGGTAGCCAGGGTAAAGCCTGGGGCAACTAGAGAAGGCACCTTAATAAAATCCTTAAACTTCTGTTTGTTTTTTGGAAACACAAGCCCAGAGCATATTTGCCCTAGGGATCAAAACTTTCATAACTATTTTACTACCGCCTTAGGAAACCTTCCTGGAGGAAAAACGTTTTTATGAATTCCAGAACCTCTCCCCTTCCCCCAAGTTTAGAAAGATGAGGGATAGTACACAAAAGCAAGCCAAGGGCAGACGGGCGGGAGTGGGGCCATTACCACACTTACTTACGAAATACTCCCTCTTAAGAGGGGAGGGGGTAGGGGGAGTGGGAGAGAGAGAGAAGTGAGACAGAGACACTATTGTGCAAGCAAGCTCTCAGGCTTGCCAGGCCAGCCCGGCCTCTCTAATGGTCCAGGGACACCATCTGCGTACTCTGGGGGGTTAACTCCCTTCCTCGCACCTACCCCACCCTCTGACCCCGCAATGCTAGGCACATCTGGGTCCCAGTTCAGCCTACCAGTCACCGTCGTCCCGCACCCCGGTCCTGATGCAGACGAGATGCCGGAGCTGGAGCCCAAGCAACTCATCGCCAGCACTTGATTCCCACAACAACCTTCTCTCAAACCTCTCTACCCCTTGTGTCCTTTTGAACCCCGGATATAAGCTCCCTCCGCTCAAGTTCACACCCCCAATCCAAGCCCAGGATCCCCTCCGGTCCCCGGAGGCCTCCGTCTCTCACCCAGAAGATTAAAGTGTAGATCAGAAGGACACTCTTGAAACAAGTAATGACTGGTTTAGTCTGCAGTCTCCGAGACCGGGACGCCATGACTAGCCCTCAACCCTACCCCGTCGCACAGGGCGAGCAGAACAGAGAGAGCAAGGAGTGGAGTCCCCGAGTCTCTCCGGAAACTGCCGAAAACTTACGAGCGTTCACAGCTAGTGAGAGCTGGCAACACTGCTGAGTTTTCTAGAGGGTGGAGTCCAGGACGCTATCCGGAAAGTGACGAAAATTTCTGAGCTCCCTTTGCCGAAGGCTGCTGAAGATTATGTGCAAAGGTTGTAGCGTCCGGAATTTCTTAGATCTTTCAGCGGATCTTGCCTCCTTTTTTCTACTAAGAATCTTTCCCGCACCCTGCCTGTCCTCCACCCTTATAACTTTGAATTGTTTCTGTCACCCGCAGCACCCGCGCTCTGAGATTCTGCCTCATAGGCCACTAATGCCCTAGAAGGAAGGAAAGGAATAAAAAGAGGTTAAAAGTAACTTAATTACATTGTATTACATGGCAAAATACCCACAAGAAATATATTTCCAAAGGGAACAAAGTGGACTGCAAATCTGTAAGTACAATCACACGTTTTTGAGACAAAAACTGACGGGAAAAGTGTAATTTACTTGAGTGGAGGGATTAGGCTGATTTCTTTCTCATTTGTTTTGTGCTTCTCAATTTTTAAAAAATATAAAATTTTTATTTATTTATTTTTAGAGAGAGGAAGAGAAGGAGAAAGAGAGAGAAACATCAATGTGTGGTTACCTCTCATACCCCCTACTGGAGAGGTGGCCTGCAACCCAGGCATGTGCCCTGACTGGGAATTGAACTGGAGTCCCTTTGTTTCACAGGCCAGCAATCAGTCCACTGAGTCACACCAGCCAAGGCTTTGTGTATGTGTGTGCTTTTCAATTTTTGAACATTGTTTTATGCAGTAGGTAGAAGCCATAAAAATGAATAAATTGTGGGAAATGATCACTTGTTGAAAAAATTCCAAGGTAGGTATGACAGGTTGATAATAAAGTTTAGAATTTCCTCTTCTTACTTATCCTTGAAGTATGTAATTGGAAAGTTGAGGGATGTTTAAAAGTAATTAATGCTGAAATATAAGTTCTGCTATTAGCTGCAAACTTTTAAAAGGAAAGGTGCTACAGAGAATGTCAGGTAAATGTAACCCCTTTTAAAATGTTACCAGTAAAACTGAAAGGCACTGTATATTCCAGTTCCAGGTTCTTCAGATTAAGAACCAGCTGATCACAAAAAGGCTGAAATTTAAGGTCACTCCGCTAAGAGCAAAACCAAAACTACAGATTACTGTGCTAGTATTATTTTTCCTTTTAAATCATGTGTGTGGGTAGCTCCATGTTCCCATGTTCCCATCATGAACAGGTAGGTCTATATTGTTACAGCACAGAATATGTACCAAGGTCTGGTTTCTCAACTAAAGTGTAAACTCTTTGAGAGCAGAAACTGAGAGTCTAGTGAGGATGTGTTATTTCTAGAGGGATGGGATTAGAAGAACATATCAGTTGCATATCCAACCCATTATATCATCATTGACAAAAGCTTAACATCATAAATGAGCATTTAGTAGTATCACTATGGCAAATAAAGTCCTGCATTGTGAGAGGTAAATGCCCAAAGCTTTTCACTTGAAACCTTGCTTTAAACATATACCACAGAACCAAAAAACAGGAAAGTTCCATTGACTTAGTCACACAGAGCTTCCCTGTGCTTTGAATATTGACCTAGGACCAGTTCCTTTTAGCATCATGCCAGATGTCTGAGGTCTAAGAGAGCAACTATTGGAGAATGAATTATTGCACTGCCAGGCTTTACACTAAAATTTTATCCTAAAATTTAAAAAGCCTAACACATAAATGAATGGAGGGAATGGGTAAATAATACAACTATACTCCTATTAGCACTGAAACAAGGTCATCAGGAAATAGAGCATACATTAACTTTTCAATTACCACATATGTCATAGCTACAGGAAATGAGGTTTGAGAGCCTAAGTATATTAAAAGCTTTCTTCTGAAACTAGATAACACTCTTTTAGAGGTTCTCCTATTAAAACAAACAAATATCAAGGGAAGTCTTGCTAACTCTTTGTCATCTTAAATGGAAGTTTCCTCTGAAATTTAGGCTTGTACTGTGTCCTGCAAGAGATTTGCAATGTAAGCTCCAGAGCAAAGAAACATTTCTGTGGCTGAAGAAAAAACAAAATAGTCAAAGCAAAAGCTACATCTGATTTACAAAAATGTGTTGATTTTCTTCCTCTCCCTTCCTCTGCTACTCACAACGCTGCTTTGTTTGAATAAGTCAGTGCCAAATTAAACCACAAGATGACATGGAATTTAATATTCCTATGGCCACAACACCTTGCACCCCTGCCTCCCATGCTGCTATATCCCCCTCCCCCCTGCCATGCCATCAAACCCAGAAATTCAATTTAGTTCAAATTTAGGCCTGGGTTTGGGTCCAAACACAGACCATAAAGGCATCTAATCACATTTAAGGCAATGTAAGAAGTAATTCTCTAGGTCAGAAAATAAGTTTATTCTTTCAAGTATTAATGATGACTGTAATATTGAGTTTTGACTATGTACCAAACACAGTTGCTAAGCACTCAACACTTGTCACCTCATGCATACATCACAAAAGCTGTTACTATGAGGTCAAAACTACTACTGGCAGCAGTTTACAGATGTGGAAACAGGTTCAGAGAGGCTAAGTAACTTGCCTAGGACTAAGTCCTGCCAACTTCAGTTTCCCTCATTAGAAACAGGGCCCACTCAGTGATGAGACATAGCTATCATTGTGCAATTGTCTGGGCTGAGAATAACCTTACTAACGACTGCTGTACTAAGACATTTAGCGATGAACAAGATCTCTTTAGAGCCCCTGAAGTACAAGAACCTCAATCATTTCCCCAATTTTGCCTTGTATTTGAAGTTTTTTGGTGAGTTTTACTTTTGCTTTTATTCCAATAGCCCAAATGCCTAAAAAGTTACCCTGCCCATCCCAGAGTGGTGTGTAGAGAGTTCAATACATTTTCTGATATAACCTCTTAATTTCTCCTTCTTCCTGATTACAAAAAAACACATATTTGATACTGAAAATGTAGGAAAAAAAGGAAAATGTGTTTTAACTATTGTTGCTGCTTGTTTTACATTCAATATTTAGTAGGTATTTTTGTTCCTTTCCAATTAACTTCTTGTAACCTGGGAGATTAGTCATTTAAACTATGCTCCCTCTAACAAATACGATATCACTAGTTTCCTACTGCTTTTCCAACATTGTCTGTTCCACAATAGATACAGTATGATTAGCTCCCCAATACATAAGATATTCCCTATCCTCTTCCCTTCTCCAACCTCACTCAAAATTTCTGCCCCCTACTCAAGTACTTAGGGTTCAACTCAAACCCAACTCAAAGAGAGTGTCCTTCTTCCACCCCGCAACAAAACCTCCCACTCCCTTAGGACCTCACGTTCTCCCGTTCCCACCTCTCCTTACCACCACTCCCCCACCCCAACCCCCACTATCCCTCCTCCTCCCCTACTTCTTAACCCCCCACACAATACTCATACTCTGACCATTCATATTAACTCAGACTCTTAATTACTACAGTACCTGATACTTGCTTTCTTCTCTGCTTACCTGTTTCATATCCTGCTGTCTACATGTTCAGACACTATTTGAAGAGCCAGTGTGGCAGGCTCATTTTCCCCTTTTATACTCTCCCCAACACCTTAAGAAACAATGCTCAATTGATGAGCTTGTTTGATGCTCAGCCAATCCCTGTTGAGTTTACTGGTCATGGCTGATCTGTAAGGCTAATCATTTAATAGTGACTCAAGGTTTGATTAATTAAATTATATTAAAGCCTAAATGTCTACGCCATCCCAGTATGACACTGCTATAAAACAGAAAAATTAAGTGGAGCTGCCGTGTAATATCTTGGACCATTACTACACTCTGTCTTAGGAACCAGTAAAAAGACATAAACCATTTCACTCACAATACATCATATCTCTTATTCTTGTAATGACATTCACCCTTTTGATTTTCTAATACTTTTTCTAGTATCCTTTCAATTACCTTTGGCTAAATGCCTATCATAAAGTTTTAAAGCACCTCCTACCTATTAAAACCTAATTTTACATTACTGCCATCAGATAAACATCATTTAAACACACAATTTAAACATCATTATTTAAATAGATAATTCATATGTACAGTTTAAAAAAGTAGTTTCCTAAATAGAAATATCTTTTTATATCCATTGCTTCTTATGCATTTTCATTATTTTTTTCTCTGAAATTCTCTTCTATGTCTATTTGGGACACATAGAAATGAGAAATACTCTTGAATGGTATTAAAATTCACAATTCCATGTCAATTTACTTTAATTCATTTTCTATGAAACCTTGTTTCTAGTCTAGCCTTGTTAAGCTTTGCTGAGATCTCAGCAAGGCAATCTGTTAGGAAATAATATTTCTTAAAGCTATCTGATTGGCCCTGGCTGGTGTGTCTCAGTGGACTGAGTGCCAGCCTGCGAACCAAAGGCTCACCGGTTCAATTCCCAGTCAGGGCATATGTCTGGGTTGCAGGCCAGGTCCCCAGTGGTGGGCACATGAGAGGCAACCACACGTTGATGTTTCTCTCCCTCTCTTTCTCCCTTCCTTACCTTCTCTCTAAAAATAAATAAATAAAATATTTTTAAAAACTATCTTATTGACTTCTGAGTGGCTTCATATTAAAAGTCTTGAAGTTGAAAATGATACTGAACTTCAAGAACTTTAAGAAATTGATATTTATATGTATCAGTGTTGTCAGTCTCTGTGTCTTTGTCTCACCTTCTTAATCAAATGATGTGGACAGGTGTTTTATTTAACTATATCTTCACAGTGTCTAACACAGTGTTATTCACACATAGTACGTGCTTAATAAATATTGGTTTTTAAAAATTAACCCCACCTATTTTGGATAAGCTCTTTGTATATATTACGCTTCACAGAATACTGTCTCTCTTATCTGATTTTATCCCCTTTGTTTTCCCTATGATTCCCATATTCTTCCCTGTTCACCTTCTTCTTTAACCTCTCTCTGCTAGCCGTCTGTCCTGCTCCTTCCAGCTCTAATTGGGATGTGAGATCTTATGCAGCATCCTCATCCTAGCATGTGCTAGTGTCTGTGTCTGGTGCTGGTGAAATGAAGCAGACCCTATACACAGTCTAGTGGGGAAGAGAGTAAAGTTTGAGATTAACTAGTATATATAGTATAGAATAAAGATTATTAGAAGTGAACAATAAGTGTGATAAATCCTATAATTGAGACATGTACACAGTGATGTGATAGAAAAGGAATTTGAAGTAAACCAGCTCTGGCTGAGTTTGGTTGAGGGCAACTTCTGAGAAGCAAAGAAAATATGGTTTTCACACACCAGAAAAGGAGGGAAAGGAATGCAAGGTAGAGCAAATATGTCTGTACAAAGGCACTGAGGTGTGAAAGGAAGAGCAAGTAGTTCTGTATGTCCAGAATGACAAGTCATGGGGTAAATAATTAAAACTAAGGTGAGAATATAGGTGGGGTATTCTTGTGAAGGATTTGGAATGCCCTGCTAAGAGTTCAGTGTGTACTCTGCCAAGAGAGAGCCAGTGAAAGGGTTTTTCTTTCTTGTTTGTTTGTTTTTAGGGAGAAAACAACTATGGTAAAATTTATTATTCCCTCTCTCTCTCTCTCTCTCTCTCTCTCACACACACACACACACACACACGCATTTAATAGATTCACTATTTTCTAACACATATTAAGTGAACACATTTTGACCTCAAGGGCCCTACAATCTGGCCCTACCCTATTCATTCAACTTTGTTTCCTACCACTCCCCTGAACCCTCTAACCAGTTAGCCCAGACCTCTCTGACCTAACAGTAAGCTTTTGTTTATGTCATTCACCTTTTCAGAGAGCATACAAAGGACTGCCTCTTCCCACAGAGTGCTTAGAGAGTCCTCACAGTCTATACCACACATTTTGAAACTTTATATGATCTTGTAATATTTTCTAATTATTTGTGTCCTCCTTCCTTCCTCTACTAAACATAAACCTTCTGGAAGCTGGAGAGTAAGCTCGTTAAGATCAAGGCTCACAGAGTTCTTACTACTGTTCCCCCAGGTCTTAGCTCATAGTAGATGTCTAATGAATGTTACTTCCTTAAGCATGAACAATTGTAATCAACATTTTTGTTGAATGTATGTCTCCTCCATTACATAGGAACAAGAACTTTTGCCTTTTTTGTTCACTGATGTTTCTTAAGTACATAGAAGAGTGTGTGGTACATAATAGATGCTCAATAAATATTTGTTAAATTAATTATGGATTCGGATGTCAGGGATTTTTGTCCATCAACCATTCTTAACACAGTAGATGCTTGATAAATTTATTGAATAAATGAGACCAAGATCATATCTTCTACTTCATTATACCACTATCACTATTGAATACACGGTAGACATACAATACATACTTATGGTTTGTGGATTGGAAATGAAACAGGCTTGTTACTAAATTTTTGTTCTCATAAGCACAATTCTTCTCCTCATAACTTAAAAGTGGTTACAAATTTGCTTGCACATACAGGGAATAAACCCTTTCTACAGCACTTAAAATCATTTCTACACAACCATTGATTTCTCAAGGACATAAATGTCAAGTCTGAAGGGAAGGAGAAGGTAAAGAGTTGGCCTGAACTATGGTAGAATAGTTTCATTATCAGATACTAAAAAGAAAGCTTGTTAAGTGAAGAGAAACATATCTCCCCATCACAGGTCACTGGGAAACAGCTTAGCAATGGCTATAACCTCGTAGGTTTGCTTAAACAGCCTTCAGCTAAAGCCTCTCAAAACATGCTTTCCCTTCACTCTTATTATAGGAAATTAGCCTTTATTCTTCTTGGTATTTGTTGTAAACGACATAATCTTATCAGAAACTGAAGTCCATAGAAGTTAGTCAGTTGGTGCTAGGGTTTCAAAGTGTGTTTGACCCTATACATATGGATGACAAGGCAATTAAGAAATTACAGGGAAGTCTTGAGGAAATGTCAGTCAGCTATGTTCTCTTCTTCTTGGAGTTTGGGAAATTCCTTTTAATTCAATCTTGATGTCATGCTGAGTCATAAAAGACGTGTTTTTCAGTGTGCCACATCTCTCTAGGAGGCCCCTTAGCCAGGCTGTTAGTCATTACTATAAGCACGGGCATGGGGCCAGCGCCATTCACACTTTCCCCTGTTCTGCAGCAGACTGATGGAGTTCCTCTAATCCTTGTGTTTCTTCTCCCCAACCTCTCTAAAACACTTCTCTGAGGGAGAAACAGCTATATCTTGGGAGCTAATATAGCTTTAAGGAAAAATTTGGCAGATGCGGATGTCCTAACATCTGGCCAGTTTTAACAGAATCCCGGAGGCCCAGACAGACCACGAGTCACTCGTTCTAGGAGTGTGAAAGTAGAAGGTTTTTCGACTGATGAAAGAAGCAGAGAGGAAGGAGAAAGAACCAGGAGAGAAAAAGAGAGCAGAAAATCCTATAAAACAGGTAAGATCTGCTGCTTAATCCCTCTATACTACACTACCCCTAGTTCACAACCATGGTGGGTAATGAGACCCATGACTTGGGCAACATGGGTGAGGGTGAAGAGGGAGAAAGAAGTTCTTTTATGAAACTGAGCCATATGCTGCTTTTCATTTGAGCTGTGACTTGCCTGCAGGCACAGGTTCCCACCACCTTCCAGATGCTCAGCAGAGGGATGGCTGACTCCCGTGAGTCAAATTTTCATCCTGAACTTGTGAAGAAGATGGGCAGGGAAGTGGTCACAGTCTCAGGGCACCAGGTCTGGAAAAGAAAGCCCTTGCTCCTGAACCAAGAAATTGCATTGAGGCTGCATGTGGGAGGCACGTTCAGTGATTAGTTTATCTCGCTGTTCATTTTCCTGAATTTCTCTTTAAACTCTTTCTCATTCTTTCGTTCTCTCTTTCTGCCTTTATCTCTTTCCTTCAGCTTTGGCAGATTACTTTTCTTTCTAGCTTCCTTCTCACATCTTTTCACTTTCCTTGCCTCCCTAACTTGCTCTCACTTTTTCTCTACCCTGCTTCCTTCCCACTGTTTAGAGAAAATCTGTAGTTAAGTAGCAATAAATTGCTACTTAAATGAATTTGTGCTATTTTTGGGCTTCTCATGTCCCTTTCGGACTCTGGCCAGAATCTACCATCTTTTTGCTTCTCCATTTCTGAGACTGACTTCTTTCTGAGCATGCCATTTCATTGAAAGTATGTGGGTGAAAAGGTGCTTGCTGAAAAATCCAGTGGCTGGTTTATACCAATGGGCAGCAAGTTTTTATACTGTCATTTATGAGGTATTTGCCTACTGGGAAACACGAAACTGAAATCCCATTAAAGTGAGGACAGAACAGGAAATAATAGGGCAATTGGAACTTGCTCACCCTCTCCTCACATACTTCAGTATGTTCTTCCCAACCTCACTTGACTTCCTGCTGGCTCAGCAGGGTAAAACTAGAAGGTTAGGTTGAACTCTTCAGCCAAAAACCGCTACCAAACCACTAAGCTTCAAAAACCAAATATAAGAAAATTACAAGGGTATAGTTACTGACTAAAGATAAGAGGTATTCAGTCCTGTCCAATACAAAATTGGTAATAATAACTAATAAACTAATATATATTGATTTTCCCTATGTGCTAGGAAATAATGTACTCTATAAGGTAGATACTGTTATTATTCTCATTTTTATAGATGAGTAAGCTGAGACTCAGAAAAGTTAAACACTGCCCAAGGTCTCATAGCTAGTAGAAACAGAATTGGTTACATATTGAGATGTGTATAACTTCAGTGTTCAAGTTTAATGTATACAGGCTAGTGCTTTCCCAGATTAGCAGTTAAGAAAAAAACAGCTAAATGGATTAAATGACCAACTGGCAGTTTTTAGATCACAGACTTTCATCTTGATTCTATATGACTGTATGTTGGTCCGTTCTTGGTCTTAGTACCTCAATGTCCCTCTCTATAACTTGGACCATGGAATATTTGCATCTAATCTCATCAGAGTCCATTGAGAATTGATTGTTTTACATCATCTTCCTTCTGGGAAGAAAAAAAGACCATGTATAACAAATAGAGTCTTGCTATTCTATAAAGTGAAGATTCTTACAAAAGGAGGGTAATAACAGGAATATGTGAATTTAAAAATCTCTCTTCTTCCTTGCAGATTCCACATTTCTGCTTCCTCTCACTTTTGGAAGCTAACTGATGGCCGATTTATGAAATTTATTTTCCTTTGCCCTGGTACTTCTGGCCACCTACTCCTATTCTTACCTCCCTAATAATCTCTACTCCTTAAAAGGATGGCTGGTCAAATAACTCAAAGAGGAGCTCTCTCTCTGCTGCTCTTCCTTGCTCCAGCAGTGACACCAACATGGTATACAGGTAAGTTCTAGGAGCTGTAGCCCATTATTTCCAGGGCTGAGACCAAGTCTTGGAGAAGGAGTTAGACTGCAATGAGAGACACTTAAGTTAGATAACAAGAACTATTCTCAACAACAAAAATGGTTAAACATTTCAACAGGATACCAAGGAAGGCTTTTGAGGCAAAGTAACAACAGATATTTAAAAATAGGCTACACCAGCTAAAAATGAGAAAGTTGGACTACATGAATTTTGAAGCCATTGTTCTCATGTGCTTCTGCACTTAGCTTCCTCCCTCCCTCCCTTTGTCTCACCCCCAGACCTTATTTATAGGGTGAGATTTTTATAGCCCCTTTGTGCCAGAAATATTAACAACAATACAGATTGCATTGTATCAAACAGGAATTTTCCAGTTTCTTCTGGCTTGTTCCTTACTTCAGAAGGGATGGATAGTTCTGAATTCCTGAATGTTTTATCCTTTGCCCCTAGAGACATAGGGAGCTGAAAAGCACAAACTCAGTGAGGGGAGGGAAGAAGGGAGGGGTGGAATGATGGAAGGATAATGAGGGGGCAGACAGAGGTTTCTGATGGAGCCCAGCTGGCATTCCAAGTGCTAAGAATATTCTGTGGCCTGCACTGTCTGCCCTTATGGGTACTGGAGGGGGGGAGTAGGGAGAGACAGGCCCAACCAATGTAATTAGGAAAATATCCAGAGATGAGTAAATAACAAACTGCTTTCATCACAGCCACAGTCAATGCAGCTAAAAGTTTCCACATGCCCTGAGCTCCTGGTGGAGGCCTTTGGCAATAGCTCTTGTTTGTCTAGAACAACTACATGAAGCTTTCAAACAAATATGCAAGCTTCTTCTTCTCTTTGGTTTAACCTGGCTTTGTAGGGGGTAAAGCACAAGGGCTGACATTGAGATGAAGAAATTCAAGTCAAGCCCTTGGCAGAGTACATACTGTCTGGAGTTAAAGGAGCCATCCTCCCCAAACTTCCCAAGTTACAGTTCAAGTATGCAAGACCAAAATTCAACCAAAGACCATAAGATTTAGGAAGTAGAGATTAGATGTCTCAAAACTCAATTTTGAACAGCTGTAAGAAACCTCATGGACTACAAAGGCCTTTACCTTTTCCAGGATGAAAGCCTAATCTATTGGAGTCTTGAGGAAAGGGTAATTTTATTTAAAAACTTAGATCATCTGTAGTTCTTAAAGGTCCATTGCAAAGGTGGCACTGCCACTTCCATAAAATCACCAGAGTCTGTACTCCTTCTGAGGAGCCCATGCTGTGAAATCTCTGACAGCCCTGCATACCCACTCATTCTATCCTATTCTGTTCTTAGGAGGCTATATGATGAGACAAATTTAGAATTTCCCCCCGTCGCTAGCTCGGCTGTCTGAGCTTTCTCCATGCATTTGTTCATTCATTCACTGTGTACACTATAAATAAATATATATATACACACATATGCACACACACACACATATATAATGTATATATACATATGTATACGTATATATGAGGAATTTATTTATAAAAAATGTGTATTTATTCTTACACGTTTAAACTTCAACTTCAAAGTACTCTCCATTTGATGCAATACACCTATCAAGATGTTTTTTCCACTGCTAAAAGTAGTTTTGGACTCATCAATTTTGATGCCTCTTAGTGTTTCTGCTGTTTTTTGTTTCACCTCTTCACATTGGCAAAATGTTTGCTTTTGAGGACTTTTTCCATCAGGGAAAGAAAAAAAAAGTCTCTTGGGGCAAGATCAAGTGAATAGGGAGGGTGGGGCACAGGGGTCATGCCCTTTTTGCTCAAAAACTGCTGAATGCTCAGTGCAGCGTGGGCAGGTGTGCTGGTAAATCACCCATCATGAAATGGGCAAATGCATTGAAAGGGTCTTCAGAAAAATTCACTGAAGCTGAATGCAGCCTCCAACACCAACGCCAGATGGTAAACCAATTCAAGTGGGTTCCTAGAACACTCACCTAGTGGGGGAAACATGTACTACAAGGGACACACCCCCTAGAAATAATTTTGGGTTTTGGGGGGTCCCCTGCAGGGATTGGGAAGGGTTAAGACTATGAATAATGCAAACAGTGTGTTAGAGGTGGATATTGGAATATATGTTCAATCCAGGAAGTCAGACCATATTTGCTATTATAAGCCAAGTATTAGTGTGGATCTGAAAATAATCTTCAACTGCCAATTACATTTACAAGCATACCTTTGTGAAGGACAGTGCTTGAGAAATGCTGCACAAACCTCTCTACTCTGGGACTGAAGAAGGACAAACAGATAGAACAATGTGGAAAGGGTGCCCCTCCAGTTATATATCATCTTGTATCCTAATATTTGCAGAAAATACCCAAAGATGGGCAGAGAGGGGAAATGCACGTGCTTAAAGTACTTGGGTGGCTTAAGCCCATTCCTGTCACAAAGTTGGCACTGGTGCAGCTACCCCTGGTGGAGACTATAATCATCTGGCTGAGTCTTCCCTTCAGTTTTCCCACATCCCCTGTAATTCTGAAATGATGTAAAATCTTTGGTGGCCTTCGATCCCACATACACAAAGTAAAAAAGTGGGATTGCAAAAAAGATTTTGGATATTTAGCACTGCTGGACATTGTCCAAAGTCCTCCCTACTGCTTTCTTTAGTGGAGTATTGAGCAGGTCAAATGGCTCTGGCCTGGAATGCCCACTCTACACCATACTAGCTGGGAGATATGGGGTACTCTATTCACTCCTCTGAGCCTATTTCCTCATCTGTACATTAGGGAGAAATGAAGGTGTCAACCTCACTGAGATGTTAGGATGACATAATGAGATAACATATGTAACAGGCTGAACAGCGAACACGTGCTCAGTGATAGCAGTTGTTGTTATCCAGCTATAGGCCTCTGTCATTCCAGCTTGCTCTTCTGGTAAACAGAGGCCTGCTCCCTGCTGGCCCTTTTTTCATAAGTGAGGTCTGGAACTAGAGTGTGGGGACTGAATCCTTTAGGGTGTCACACACATCTGGCCTCCTGTTTACAGGAGTTGTAAATCTTTGAGGTTATGCTAAACTGAAATAGCTGACAAGAATTCTGACCTCCACAGAGAAACCTCCCATGTGGGAAAAGAGCAAGCCTGAGGAGAAAATTTTTAAAAAGTCAAGGGAAAGAGAAAAAAATTAACTCTTTCCTCTGGAATGAGGGCAAACCAAGAAGGACATGATTTCATATGGCAAACTTTCAATTTGATTCATTCCCTTGTTCTTCAAGTTGGACTGGTTTTCCAAGTTTCCACCCTCCACTCCCAATCTGTGAGGAGCTTCATCATCTAGCTCTCTGCTCTCTCATTTAGTGTAGGGGGCCCTGAGCCTCTTCGCAGAGAGGTGGCTGACACACTTGTGGTCTGAGTGTTTACACAGGCCAAAGGGCCCCAGCAGTAAAACTCAGCCCTGTTCTGGAAGCACACTCTCTCCTGGAAGTAAATAATTGTTTTGTGACTCCAGCATGGCATTCTGTTTTATTCCTGTGTGTGCATTAGGGCTCAGGGAGGCTGTAAGGAGGGCTTCCTGAAACTTCACTCTGGAAAAGACCAAGTTGTATTACAATTAGTTTGTGTTCATGACCGATTTCCTGCCATCTAGTGGAACACAGTTTAGTCTCCCAGACAGCCACAGACCTGCCTGTACCAGGGACTGAGCCACTTAATGGAGTAAGGGTGGACTGGGAACATTATCTAGCTCATCAGCTCCTTCCTAAAGCTTCTGCTGATTAGAAGGACCAGAAATTTTTCCAAAGGACTTTGCTTTCTTTTTCTTTTCCCTCCAAACCAGAGCAAACTATGCAGGATGTGAAACTATTCTCATTTCCCCTTGGCTTTTGATCCCTATTTACATTGGCATGGCAATAGTAACCTAGCAATGACAACCAGGTGGCAAAAGGCTGGTGCTCTGTGAGCTCGTGGGAGCTTGAGGAATTATTTCCTTCTGAGGACTGTGAACAGGCATATCACCAGTGGAAAGACTCTTACTCAGGCTCAATTTTTTCCTCCTACCTGGGGCAACTGTCCAACCTCAGAATTTGGTAATCAGCAGCTCACCAAGACTCATGTATTGCATCAAGGAAATGGGTCATTTGTAGTCCAGATTGGTAGGATTGATGGATAGTCAAGAAGTTATTTTTTTTTAAATGGAGGCTTAGTTCTACCAGTACCACTCTAACCCACCCCAGGAGCTCCCCCTTCATGTACCTGAGGTGTTGAGGTTTCCCAAAATAGTTCTATTGCTTCATAAGGTAGAATTTTCCCCATTAAATATCCACCTGGCTCTCCACCCATAGAATGCCATGTCCTCAGGAAAAGACCACGTTGAAAGGGGGAAAGGGTGGTAAGGTCTTGAGTGAGAAATCAATATGTCATCTTGATATTGTCTTATTTACTCTAGGTTCAGGCTACAACCCAGATGAAAGCTACAATGAAGTATATGCTGAAGAGGCCCCACAGGTCCCTGCCCTAAACTACCGAGGTAATACTCACTGCTTCTCAGGCTCAGGAAGGGTCTTTTCTGGCCTAAGGCCCAGGCCCTTCCTGAAGCATCTTTATCCAGTTTAGCTTATATCTGCCAAAACTGAAGCTCAGGGAATCAGGGGCTGTGATTTCCAATCATGAACTTGGTTACTCACTTGCTGTTTGACCTCACCTCTCTAGCACTAAGCTTGCCTATCTATTACTAACCATTAAGTACTGACTGAGTGCCTTCTGTATGTCTAATCTTGTGCAAGGTAAGCAGTGGATTATACAAAAATGTGTGTTCCCCCAAGGAGCTTACATTCTGCTAGGGGAAGAATTATTGAGTGGGCAATAAAATTAGCACATGTAGAGTGAGTAAGTGTGAAACTATGTGGTAGCAGTAAATGCAATAGGAGTTAAGAAAAACTAGTCAGGTTTGATTCCCAGCCAGGGTACATGCCTTGGTTGCAGGCCACAGCCCCCAGCAACCGCACATTGATGTTTCGTTCTCTCTCTCTCTCTCTCTTTCTCCCTCCCTTCCCTCTCTAAAAAAATAAAATAATAAAAAAATAAATCTTTTAGAAAAAAAAGAAAAACTAGTCAGGGAAAAGATCATAAAAGATGACATTTTAGAATAAGACTTGAATTTTGGGTAGAGTCTGAAAACTAGAAAGGGGAAGGAAGGGCATTCAGAAAAGCAAATGGCCACAGATATAGAGGTAAGAAGAAACCTCTTAGAGAAAGGAGCTTACTGGAGGAGACAGGATGTTCAGAAAGTAGTAGAAGATAAAGTTGAATATAAAGCATGAGATGAAACTAGGGAAGGCTCCATGATCTACCAACTCTTCTAAGGAGGGGCAGGAGGAGTGTCCGTGAAGAAGGCTGAATAGCTATCCCTGTACTACAAGGAAAGTTAGACCAGGTAATATGTAACATCCCTTATATTTCTAAGATTCTTGTTTTTATGCATTGCAAGCCATACAGAAGACTTTAGCTGTTGTACTATGAGTTATAAGGAGCCATCATATGTGTTTGCTCAGAGGGGTGATATTTGAGACTATTAACCTCGTTATTGTGTATGTTATTGTGTACAGAAAGTAGGGGTTCAGGATGGGTAGAGCCTAGGTAAGGGAGACTCTCCAGGAATCAGTAACAAATAGTGGCAAAGAAATGGAGGGTAAGAATGAACTCCAAAGACTTTTCAAAGATATGGCAAGTCCTGACTGGTGTGGCTTAGTTGGTCAGGCAACATCCCACAGGGTGAGAGGTGACTGGTTTGATTCCCAGTTAGGACACATGCCTGGGTTGTAGGTTTGGTCTCTGGTTGGGGTACATGAGAGAGATAACACATTGATGTTTCTCTCACATCTATATTTCTCTCCCTTTCTTTCTCCCTCCCTTCCCCTTTTCCTAAAAATAAATAAATAAAATCTTTTAAAAAATAGATGGCAGGACTTGGTACAGATTTGATGTACCAGAGGCTAAGAAACAATGATGTCTGAAAGCATCCAGTCTGAATACCTGGGAGAACTCTATGGCCCTGCTCAGAAGGATAAGGTTAAAAAAGAAAACTGCTTTGGTGAAGATGCACTATAGGCATAGGAAGAAGAAAGATGGAGCTTTGTGAGCCATCAGCTTAGATGGATGAGCTGCCTGAAGGAGCAGAAGACCAAGGTCAGAGCATTAGAAGGCATCTACAGATGTCAGTAGGAGAAGAAGAGCCAACAAGAGAAAAAGAGATAGTTAATGGTCAGCCATGTAAGAGGAGATAAAAATAGTATCTATTATATAACAGAAGCCATGGGAGAAGAGGGTTTTAAGGAAGGGGAAGTGGTAAGAGATCCACTGTATCAAATATTGCAGAAACAATTTGAGGATGCTGAAAACATTATATTTGGCAAGAAGGTAAGTGGTAAACCATGAGAAAAGAGGTTCAATCAAAAAATGATAAGAACTTTGGGCTCCTATATGCTCCTTTTTTATCTTCTACCTATGTTCTTCTCACTGCCAAATGTTCCACACCTACTGCCTCTCAGTCTCAGCACCCAGTAATTCCTAAACTTCCTACAGTATGCTTCCACAAATCACCATGCTTAAACAACATGCCTTGAAGATCACAATTCTATCCCAAAGCCCAAATCATATGGCCTTTTCTTGCGCTTCAATCTCCAAAGTTTCTCAGCAGTGAGCACACTCTTTCTTGTCAACCCTCCTTCCTTGGGTTCAAAGACATTTCACTATTCTGGTTACAGCTGAAGCCAAGAAAGGAGACGGGCTCTCTACTGGTGACAAAAGAGAGAATCATGCATGGATCTGAACTTTGGGTGACCCTGACTTGTCTCCTTGACTCCTGGACTACACCTCCAGTTGCTGCTGGACACTTCCATTTGGAGATGTCTAAAACCGAATTTGTTTATCTTCCCTGAAAACGGCTCCAATAGATGACCTTCCTACTTTTGATAATGGTGCCATCATTTTCTTAAAATTATCTCAATCACTCTGACTGAGTGGTTTAGTTGGTTGGAGTGTCATCCCTCATACCAAAAGGTTTCAGGTTAAATCTTCAATTAGGGCACATACCTAGGTTGCAGGCTTGATCCCTGTTCAGGGCACATAAGGTAGGAAGCCAATCAATGTTTCTCTCTTACATCAATGTCTGTCTGTCAGTCTATCTATTATCTATCTATCTATCTATCTATCTATCTATCTATCTATCTATCTATCTATTATCTATCATCTATCTATCATTTCTCTCTCATCTCCCTGCAGTTTTCTAAACTCAGTAAAAATATTCTCAGGTTAATATTTTTAAAAATACCTCAATGGCACCTTAAGTAGCCCCCATCACCTTTAATAGCCCACTTTTCCTCATCATCTCTCACTAGTCATTCATCAAAAGATGTCATTTCTTTATTGATCCATGGATTAAAACTTCTATTATCTCACACATGGATAATGACAATTGCCTCTTAACTGAATTCTCTGATTCATGATTTTCCTCTCTTCAGGGCCACTGTGATCATTTCTTCCAGAATTAGTCTCAGTCAAGCTGCCCAGCAACTCATGAAATTTATGTTTTGGCCAGCTTAGCAGAACTCGACTCTGTTACCTGACTAAATTAGCCCACCCTGAGCTTTCCCTCATCCATTCATTTTTTTACTCATTTATTCAATGAATATTCATTGAGTACCTACTATGTACTCTTGGACTCTTCAGATGGTACTCTTCTGAAATAAATATTTATTATCTGGAGCACTAATTTTGCATTCACTATATATTGCCCTTTTGGTTTACTTTTTATTACATTCAGCAAAATGTTTACCTATTTAACAGAAACAGCCATGTATGATACCCCACTCAAAGCTATGTAAAAAGTTAATGCTCAAAACATGTTTACTGGATGGTTGGCATTCTTGGATTAGAAGCCACATTGTAGGAAACTGTAAATAGGATAAGTGGATAGGAAGAAGCAGCAGATGCAGAATGTACTTTCAAGAGGTCTAGTGATTCTGTGATTAATATTAACCTGATCCACTGGTTATTTTAAAACCTGTATAAAGCCTTATAGAAAAATATAAGCCATATACCAACCTTTGGGTTTGGGGTCAAGTGCCTTCTGGATCTGCACATAAAACTAATTGGGTGAAGTTATCAGTGTTGCAAGGGGAGAGGGGCCTGGGAAAGTACAACCTGAAGTCCCAACCTCTTTTGTAAGGTCTTTGTGACCTCATAATCCCAGCTTCAGACTTTTTGTAATTAGGAGATGGTGTCTTGAGGTGTTGCTGCGTGAAGTGGGATGCTCAAACCCAGAAACTGATTTAGGGAATATCATTCCCAGGGCTAGATGTAGTTTACACACACAATTTCATTTGATTCTCAAAACAGCCATATGGAACTGATTTATTATCCCCATTTTACAGACCAGGAAACTAAGCTCAGGAAAGTTAAATTTAGAGAGTTGCAGAGCTTAGAGGTGATGAGCAGGAATTTAAACCTAGGTCTGTCTGACTCCAAAGTCATGCTCATTCTATCTCTTGTATTAAAAATGTAACCTAGTGTTTTTAAAAAAGAAGAGTTAACCAGTAAAAAACAAATCATTATTTGCCCATGTAGCTTGATGCCATTTTCATTCATCTTGAATGTACTTTCATTTCCTCTCTTGATTCTTAGCTTGGAGTCAGAAACCCTTGTCTGAGGTTTGTCATCAGTCCTCTGGACTGCCACTTTCCCTGAGGATTGTTTTAGCCCTGAGCAAGCTGGTAATTTTGCCAGGGTTATCTGAAGATAATCACAGAGAAGACCCTTTTAACCCTGTTGTAAGTAGTTTGTTTCCTTTATAATCTCTGAAAAGTGACAGGTGAATAGCTGCACAGATCAGAGGTCGTGGGCCTGAGTTCAAGTCCCAACTCTTCCACCTTCTAACTCTTTTATCCCAAATACTTTTATGTGTCAGTCGCTGTGCCATGTATTTTATGTTATTTCATTTAAGTAAATTGCATGCTTGTCGTGATATGGGAAGATCTCTAAAACTCATTAAGTTTATTTTAAAAAGCATTGGTGGGAACTGTGGGCATAATATGCTATTCAAATATTTTAAAAGAGGGAAATATAAGATTATAACAATATTTGCATTATTTGCTTTATATGCATAAACTATTAACAGTGGTTCTTTATGGTGAGGCCAAGTGGCACTATGTGTCAGACCAGGGGTGGGAGGGAGACTTTACTGTGTAACAGTTTATACATTGTGGATTTTGAATCATGTGCCTATATTACCTATTCAAAAGTGTAAATGTATGCTTCAAAATAGCAATCTAACATGCTACAGTGGTAGATATTGTGGTTAGAAAAAATATGTGTTTAGAGCCAGACAAAGCTTGGGTTCAAATCTCTGCCCATTACTTGCTGAGGGACCGACCATAAGCAAGTTAGTTCCTCACCTACAAGATAGGGACACACCTGCCTACTACACAGGGCTGTTGGGAGAACTATTTGAGGTGATGAATGTGAAAATAAAAATATAAATCATGGTACCCAGCACACAGTAGCCACTCAGTAATGATTAGCACATTTCCTGCCAGACATTTTCACCATGAAGCATTTAGCCATGTTCTGAGTTTCAGTTTTCCATCATCATTCTTAGGGTACAGTTGTTAAGCCAGTTATAAATCTTTATAACTGTATTGTCATCTCTCCTGTATTTCTGCATCTCATCCACATCAAGGGCATGAAGGCATTGTCACAGGCCTCACTTATTTCCACGTAGCGTACTCACAAGTTTTCCTTGCTCTACCAGTCTGGTGACCTTACCCAAAGAGGAAATGAGATCATTCTTGAATGACTTGTTCTTGAGGACACCTGAATATCAGCACATCTCTTTCTAACTGGTCATAAGCATGTGTTTAATTATTGTAGAATACTGATATATGTACTGTCAGTCTCACCAGGCTATAGTGCCCAGAGGCTGCCTTCTTTTGCCTTCTGGGGATCTAATATACAGCATGGTGACTATATGTAATGATACTATATGTATGGTGCTGGGGGTACTAGAGATATCAGAAGGAATTTATATATATATATATATTTATATATATATATTTATATATATATTTATATATATATTTATATATATATTTATATATATTTATATATATATTTATATATATATTTATATATATTTATATATATTTATATATATATTTATATATATAAATTAGTGTGTGTGTATATATATAAATTAGTGTGTATATATATATATACAAATTAGTGTGTGTGTGTGTGTGTGTGTGTATATATATATATATATATATATACTGTGCTGTATACCTGAAACTAATATAAAACTAGAGTAAATGTCTAGTTTGTAACTGAAAAAAAATCACGTTGTATAACTTAAATATATACAGTTTTATTTGTCAATTATACCTCAATAAATCTGGGGGGTAAGATAAGGTTTTTGTTCTTTTCCAGCTTTCCAACATGTTTTCTTTATACCAGGATTCCTCTGGACCAACAAATTTGAACTTATTTACAATAGCTAGGCCCTCTCTCACTGTCTCATTATTTATCCTTATCTCTACATTTCCTTTTACTGTGTTTGCTTGTTCTATGTATTCCAATCTGATGTGTATTTTCCTTGACAGAATGTGGGAGAGAAACAGGATGTGAGTGATTGTTGAGGTCCCAGACTCCCATATAAAGTCTTTATGATACATGTTGTGATCACATAATGAACAGCTGTGCAACTGTAGTGCTTGAGACTTTGTGTAATTTGAAGATGGTGTCTCCAGATGGCAGTCTTGTGTTACAGCCACAGGCTCAAAATGAATGCTGAAAGCTACAAACAACTGTGTTGGTTTTTGAAGGATAGTTTTCTCACTGTCACCTGTCTTCATTCTTCCACTGCCCACAAGCAGAAGTTCCAGCATTTCTCTCTTCCTTTAACTTCTGATGTGTTTTTTTTAAAGCCTCCTTGTTTTTGTCCCTTAGGATTTAGGGATTGAATGAGCTCACATGGGGTGAGACTACCTGACCTCAGACTAACAGGTCTGTGTCATCCTGTGTATGTATCCTTGGACAGATAGCCCCTTGCTTGTTTATAAGTGTCCCTTTAAAATCTGCACCTGTTGAACCCACATTTATATTGTGTAGCCAATGATGCCATTTTATGATGCTTTTATGATTTAATGACCGTATTACCTTCAGTATTGAACCGGGATTGGACTTTCATTCTTAAGCAGTCTTCTTTGATATTGAATTCCCTTCCTCTCTCTAACCTCCATCTTCGTATCATTTAAAAATTATTTTAAATTTACCTACTGTGATTTTCACTCTTTTTTGTGCAGAGTTCTATGAGTTCTGACAAATGCATAATCATATAACCATCACCACAGTACCAAACAGCTCTATCACATCAAGAACTTGCCCATGCCTTTTTGAGGTTGTCTAGGACTCTGTCCCTGAAATCTGGAAACCATCAATTTGTCCCTATATTTTTGCCTCATCCAGAATGTTGTATAAAAGGAATCCTACAATATGCATCTTTTTGAGTTTGGCCTGTTTCACTTCACGAGCTGCATAGGAGATTCATCCATGTTAGTGCATGTATCAACACTTCCTTCTTTTGTGTGAATAAACAACAGTTAGTTTAACCATTCACCCAGAGAGGACAGAGGACATTTGAATTGGTGCCTGCTTTTGCAATTGTGAATAGAGATACTTTAAACATTTGTATACAGGATTTTGTATGAACACAGGTTTTCATTTCACTTGGGTAAATACCTAACGTAGGATGGTAGGGTTGCATGGCAAGTGTATGTTTACCTTTACAAGAAACTAACAAAATATTTTCCAAAGTGGTTGTCTCATATTGTATCTCCCCAGGAATGTATAAGAATTCCAGTTTCTCTCCATCCTCACCAGCACTTGGTTTTGCCAATTGTTTTAAAGTTTAAACATGTTAATGGGTACATAATGGTATCTTGTTGTAGTTTTAATTTACATTTCTCCAGAGACTTATGAAACTGAACACGTTTTTATGTGTTTATTTGCCATTAGTATATCCTCTTCAATGATATGCCTGTTCATGTCTTTTGTCCATGTTCTAACTGAATTATTTGCTTTTTACTGTTAAGTTTTGAGAGTTCTTTATATATTCTAAATACTAGTCCTTAGTTGGATGTGTGGTTTGCAAATATTTTGTCCCAGTTTGTAGTTGGTCTTTAATCTATTAACAGTGCTTTTCAAAGAAAAAAAGTTTTTAATTTTGACAAGTTTCAGTGTATTGATTTTTTAACTTAATTGTGCTTTTGGTGTCATGTCTATGACCTGTTAGCTCTAGATCCCAGAGATTTTTTCCTATTTTTTCTAAAAGTTTTATAATTTTACTTTTTACATTTAAATTTATGTATATTTTGAATTAATTTTCATGTAAGGTGTTAAGACTTAGGTTGAGATTCGTTTCCTCTCCTCCTCTTCCCTTTCCTCTCTTTCCCCTTCCCCTTATCTCTTCTCCCTCCTCCTCCTTCTTCTTCTGGCTCTTTTTCTTTTTTAACTATGGAAGTTCAATTGCTCCAGCAACATTTGTTCGAATAGCTATCTTTCTTCCATTGAACTGCTTTTGCATCTTTGTCAAAAAATCATTTCATCATAATTGTATGGGTCTATTTCTGGGCTCTCTTTTCTGTTCCATTTATCTATGTGTCTGTCCTTTCACCAACACACTGTTTCAATTACTGTACTTCTAACTTACTTTTCTTCTATTGCTACAGCCCCCCGATGGTGTTATACATTAAACATTCAAGATGGAGAAGCCACATGCTACTCACCAAGGGGAGGAAATTATCACAGTACCCTGGGCACTCGTTGTGATCTCTCCTGTGACCGGGGCTTTCGACTGATAGGACGAAGGTCGGTGCAATGCCTGCCAAGCCGCCGCTGGTCTGGAACTGCCTACTGCAGGCGTAAGTGGTGTGTGTGCAGATGCTGATACATGTATATGAGAGAGGCCAGCCAGCCACTGAGGATATATGCCTGGAGGTGTTACTATGCCTTCTGTCAAATGCAAATTGAGAATTTTCCACAGGAACCCAAAATACCATTTCCCTGTCCTAACATTCTAGCTCTTTTCATCTCCCTATAGTTATTGTCCAAGTAATAAGGGCATTTAAGCAGCAAACAGTCCTTCTGGCTTGGGGACTGAGGAGTGTTTATAAGACTTGGGTTTGGGCCCTGATGTATACCTGGGCCTTCTTCTGAAACACTCAAGGAAGTATGGTCTCAGACTCTTTCCAACTTGTGGCAAACTGTAATACTTCCTGGCCTAGAGCCTTATAAGGCCTTGGCAGTGAAGCTATGAGACATCTGTTATTCTTCATTTTCTTCATATTCTTCAGAATGTCACAAAGAATCCTTAGGCTAGAATGTGGGGATGCTAATGCACACATTCCAAATCATGTCTGCCTCAGCTCCCAAATCCCTGTCTCTTATTCAAGACCTACAACCTATGTCTTTTTATTAGCTGAGCTTTGCCTGTCCATATGTCTATCTCTGAATGCCATTTGTAGGACATCCATGTGTGCAGGGCCCTGTATTGGTTTCTTCAGAAACTTACTCAATCCCAGATTGAGCCTATCCCAGACTAATGGGATAGAAACACAAATGTGTGAATGTGAATGCTCTGTGATCACACACACAGTGCTAAGCCTTCAGAGAGAAATTCGGTTGGTTAAAACAGATGTTGTGGGGGAGAGGAGAAGCTTGATAGCCAGAAATAAGGAAGCTGCCACACTCCTCTAGAGAATTAATTTGTTTTAGGAACTAGACTCCATTGTTTCCAAAAAAAAATTGAATTGGCCTCACAACATTAAATAGTATAACTCTATAAATGAATATAAAACCAGTTAAAAGAATGGAGATGTACACATTTCCAGGTACCTAAAATGAGTTAATTACTGTTTTTGAATAATGAATCTGGCTTTGCCCTTCCTCATAAGAGACAAAAAAGCAAATACTTTGGATGTGTCATTTTAACTGTTATATAATACTAAGAAAACAAATTCACCTGAAAAGACAAACGTTTCTTCTTGGCACTGATTTCAAGGATGTTATTTTTTTGCAAAAAGGAAACCAGAAAACATAAAATGCAATAATCTTCAAGCCTGTTTTGACCTTGAAGAAAAATGAACATAGCTTATAGAATCTTTATGCAAAGCTCCACTAATTGAACTTACGCAGGGTTAGAACTTAGAAAATGTAAAGGAATGTACGGCTTGCCCACTTCTTTCAAGTATCAGATATTTCAAACTAGAATTTGGCAAGCACAGGCTCACAATCAACTCATTAGCAGTCTCTGCTTCTGACACATATATTATCTAAAGCACATGGATTCTTCTTTAATCAAATACCACAAAGTTGGCTCTCCAGACACTGGCCTGACTCATATTCTTATCCGGATAGAGGGCCAGCCTACTTTCACATGTAACTGAGCCTCAGCTGAGGAATGCCTGTGACAATACCAAAATAATACTCAAAAAGGAGCTCTGAATTTGTTCAAGGATATCTAACACTTGAGGAACAAGAGATGAAAACTATTAGCAGCTAAGGCCCTAAATGCATCCAGAGGTTTGTATGCATCATCCCTTTTAATCTGCACAACAGTTCTATGATATATCCACATTTTTTTTTATTTTTTAAAGATTTTATTTATTTAGTTTTAGAGAGGGAAGGGAGGGAGAAAGAGAGAGAGAGAAACATCAATGTGCGGTTGCTGGGGGTCATGGCCTGCAACCCAGGCATGTGCCCTGACTGGGAATCGAACCTGTGACACTGTGGTTCGCAGCCCGCGCTCAATTCACTGAGCTACTCCATCCAGGGTGATATATCCACATTTTAGTGGTGAAAATACTGAGCCTCTGAGAGATGACGTAACTTACTCAAGTCAGAGAGCTTGCAGGAAGTGGAGCTGGGATCTAAACTCAAGTGGGATTATCAAGTCCATACACAAGTCATTTACCTCTTTGAGAACTCCTCTCCCCAGTACTACTGTACCTTATTATAAAAATAAGAAGGCAATTAGGAAAGACAGGCAATTAGGCACAAAAATGTAAGGGAATTTTAGGGTAGGGTTTTTGTATTTTATGTTATCTCTGATATGGTTCTTCCCATGCTAGATGACCCACCATCACCTCTAGGTAGTCCCACAAGCCACTGAGCTTGCAACTTGGTCTTTTCTTAGAGATGAGATGCCACACATTGCCATTCATTACGAGTGGCACCTACACCTGCACAAATGGGGTGCTTCTTGACTCCTGCTGTGACTACAGCTGTTCCAGTGGCTACCACCTGGAAGGTGACCGCAGCAGAATCTGCATGGAAGATGGGCAATGGAGTGGAGGCGAGCCTGTATGTGTAGGTAAATGTTGGTCACTCCCAGATGTCCTGCTGCAAAGAGTCACTCTGATGTTGTGTTCACAGAGGATATGGAATCCTTACTGCAGAAGGCATTCTTGTTTGTTATGAGAGGGGCACTCTGGGCACATGCTTAAAGAAATTATCACTTCCCCAAGAGCTGGGCTTTCTTGAGCATCTTGAATAGAGAGTGTATCTTTTACTTACCCACTGGTGTAGTATTGGATCTATGGGTTCCCTACAGGAAAGGCAGGGGGCCCATGAGTCAGCACTTGATTTCTGACCTTGGCAGACATAGATCCCCCCAAGATCCGTTGTCCCCACTCACGTGAGAAGATGGCAGAGCCAGAGAAACTGACTGCTCGAGTATTCTGGAACCCACCTTTGGTGAAAGATTCTGCTGATGGTACCATCACCAGGTGAGTAATGGATACCCTTTATGCTTCCCAGCAGCTTCTCCAGACTCTCATGCTGAGGCTACAGTGATGATGTGCCCCAGACCCTGATCCTAAGGATGTCTTTCCTCAGTGGTTCTCTTACTCTGTTCCATGTAGGGTGACACTTCGGGGCCCTGAGCCTGGCTCTCACTTTCCCGAAGGAGAGCATGTGATTCGTTATACTGCCTATGACCGAGCCTACAACCGCGCTAGCTGCAAGTTCATTGTGAAAGTACAAGGTCAGAAAGAACCCTTCCATTTCCACATTGTTCATTATTCATGCTCTGCCCTGACCTGCTAGATGCTACCACAACCCTCTTCTCTCTATACCTGAAACAAAAACCTCCTTTAGATTGGGCGAGAGAAAAAAACAAATTCACTATAAAGCAGGTGTCCCCAACCCCTGGGCCATGGAGCCAGGAGTTAGGAGCCAGGCCACACAGCAGGAGGTGAGCAGTGGGCAAGTAAGCAAAGCTTCATCTGTATTTACAACTGCTCTCCATTGACCACCTTATTGCCTGAGCTCCACCTCCTATCAGATCAGTGGTAGCATTAGATTCTCATAGGAGTGCAAACCCTACTTTGAACTGCACATGGGAGAGACCTGGGTTGCACACTCCTCATGAGAATATAATGCCTGATGATCTGAGGTGAAACTGAGGCAGTGATGTTAGCACTGGGGAGTGGCTGCAAACACAGATTATCAGTAGCAGAGATGTTTGAGAGCACAGAGACCATAATAAATCAATTGCTTGCAGACTCATATCGAAACCCTATCAGTGAGTGGCAAGTGACAATTAAGCTGCATCTGGTGTCAGGCTTTATAGTGGCAAATGAGTTGATGTACTTTAATTGTATAGCTGCATCTGGTGGCAGGCTTTAATTCAGAATCCAACACTTACTTTCAGTCTACACATGGCCTGCCCATTATTTTATTTACCACTCTCACCCGTGCTTTTTTCCTGCACAATGCACTTGTCTCAGTCACAGTTTTGGTAAGCCTACATAAGGGCCAAAATGAGTAAAAGATAAATGTCACTGAAGAGCTTCTTTGAAAAGGGGGAAAGACCCAATGATGACACAGCAGAAGACTCTAAGACTGTCAACAAAAAAAGGTGCATTTAAGAGAAAATACCTAGAGTCTTACTTAAATTACAGGCTTATTGCAACAGGTGATTCACATTCTCCAAGACTGCTTTATGTAATATGTGGTGACCAGCTATCCAGCAAAGCCATGAAACCTTCAAAACTGCTTTGCCATGTAGAGACCAAGCACCCTACTTTAAAACACAAGTCTTTGGAGTTTTTCAAAAGAAAAAAATATGAACATGAAGAACAGAAGCAATTATTGAAGGCCACCACTTCATCAAATGTGTCTGCACTGAGAGCATCACCCTTAGTGGCTAACCACATTGCTAAAGCTGAAGAGCCCTTTACTGTTGGTGAAAAGTTGAATCTCCCCACTGCTAAGGACATTTGTTGTGAACTTTTAGGAGAAGCTTCAGTTCAAAAGGTGGCACATGTTCCTCTTTCGGCCAGCACCATAATTAGATGAATTGATGAAATAGCAGAGAATATTGAGGTACAGTTGTTACAGAGGATGAATGACTCACTGTGGTATGAAATCCAGGTTGATGAGTCTACCACTGTTGACGAGGCAACAATGCTCATTTTGGTGTGATATATTTTTCAGGAGGATGTACATGAGGATACGTTATGTGCAGTTTTGTTGTCAGCCAACACCACAGCTACAGAACTATTCAAGTCTTTGAATTATTACATATCAGGAAAACTGAATTGTTCATTTTGTGTCAGTATATGCATGGACAGAGTGACTGCCGTGACTGGACAACTTTCTGATTTCATTACTCGAGCCAAAGAGGATGCTTCTGAATGTGAGTGTACGCACTGTGTCATCCATAGAAGAATGCTGATTAGCCAAAAAATGTCACCTGAACTTAACAACGTTTTGCAGGATGTGATTAAAATTACCAACCACATTAAAGTACATGCCCTTAACTTATGTCTGTTTGCACAGCTCTGTGAGAAGATGGACACAGAGCACACACATCCTCTCTTATACACAGAAGTGAGATGGCTTTCTAAAGGCAGATCACTGGCTAGAATTTTTGAGTTATGGGAGCTGCTCCAGAGCTTTTTTTTAGAAAAACAGTCACCACTGGCAGCACATTTCAGTGACAGAATGGATCATAAAACTTGTTTATTTGTGTGACATGTTCAACCTGCTCAACAAACTCAATCTGTGACTTCTGGGAAGAACAACTGTGTTCAAGTTGGCAGATAAAGTGGCTACATTCAAAGTCAAACTGGAATTATGGGGGCAATGAGTGAACATTAGGATTTTTGACATGTTTCAAAAGTTAGCAGAGATTTTGAAAGAGACTGAGCCAGGGCCTTCTTTCTCCCAGCTGGTCCACAATCACCTATCTCAGCTTTCAAAAAGCTTGAGCATTGCTTCCCAACCACAAAAGACCCCCACATTGGGAAGAAATGGATCTGTGACCCAACTGTGAATAAGCCAGGGGAATCAACTTTGTCCATGCTAGAAGAGGATGAACTGCTTGAGACTGCAAATGATGGTGGTCTTAAAAGTATTTTTGAGACAACTTGAAATCTCCATGTGGTTTGGATTAAAGTCAAGACAGAATATCCTGGGATTGCTACAAAAGCACTGAAAAGCCTGCTTCCATTCCCAAGGTCCTATCTTTGTGAAGCAGGGTTTTCTGCAGTGACAGCAACCAAAATGAGATTACAGGGTAGTCTGGAGACAAGCAACACACTTCAGGTGTCTCTGTCTCACATCACCCCCAAATGGGACCGTCTAGTTGCAGGAAAACAAGCTCAGGGCTCCTACTGATCCTGCATTATGGTGAGTTGTATAATTATTTCATTATATATTATAATGTAATAATAGTAGAAATAAAGTGCACAATAAATGTAATTCACTTGAGTCATCCCCAAACCATCCCCTGCCTGCCCTCCTCACCACCCGTTCATGGAAAAATTGTCTTTCATGAAACTGTTCCCTGGTGCAAAAAAGTTTGGGGTCTGCTGCTATACAGGGTTAAGTGGTCATTCAGGAAGCCTGCATGACATTGAGCACACACGTGTTTTAGAAACCCTGACTCCGCAACAGGGTTTTCTCACTCTCCTACATCTAGATAAAACTCACCAAGATGTATCTACTTGTTTTCTTGGCCTTCAAATGATGGGATCTAATCAGCCTTTATTCTCAGTTTTTCGCCCCTGCTGAAATTGGTGGCATTCCCTGCTTGATTCTTCCTTTTTGTTTAGTGTTATGCTGTTTTCTTTCACTTTTTTCATTACAAATATAATTCATATTCATTCTTGAACACAGGAAATATAGAAATATACAAGGAAAAATCTATTATCCCATCTTCCACAGATAATTGCTGTCAATCTTTTGGTATTTTCTTTCCTTCTTTTTTTAAATTATATTTTATTGGTTATGCTGTTACAGTTGTCTCAGTGGAATTGGAAAGTCAAAAGGCAGTTCCATTTTTACTATAACCAGTATTTTAAATTGCGAAGCTGATAAATTGCTTTTCTTCATTTTGTTTAGTTCTTTTTTCTGGAGTTCTGTGCCATGTTTCTTTGTCTTCTCCTTTTGGCAGCCTCCCTGTGTTTGTTTCTATGTATTAGGCAGAGCTGCTACATCACTTGGGCTTGGTAAAGTGGTCTAATATAGTAGGTGTCCTGTAGAGTCCAGTGGCACAGCCTTCTCTTTTGCCTGAGCTGGGTACTCAAGATGCACCCACTGTGTGGGCTGTGCACACTTTCCTGTTGTAGATGAGCCTTGATTGCTTTTGGCACGTTCAAGGTCAGCTATCACCTATGTTCTGTCCGAGGTCACACAACATAAACTACATAGAAATCTGCAGATGGCTGCTATTTGTGTTGGGTTTAGAGGTGCTCAGAAGAGGCCAAGCTGTGAACCAAGGGTGGCTGCTGCTAATGCCAGGCCTGCAACAATTTAGCAAGAGGTATGGGGCTCAGTGAAGCCAGATGCTGCTTGTTTGAGAGAATTTAGGAAAATCTGAAGCATGGGCCAATGCAAGCCATTCATAGGTAAAAACCCCTGGAAACAGCTTGGATGGGCCAAAAAATTGGGCGGGCAGGGCCTCAGGTAATCACCAGGGTGAGGCACACAGTATGAGCCAGGTTGATGGAGTCTCAGATATGGTACCCACCTGGTGGCTCTGTGGCTCTGTGGGTAGAGGGCTCTGAAAAGAAACAATGGCCTCTGCCACACTTCTGTTCCTCCTGTTTGGGAGAAAGCTGTCCTCCTACTCCCACCCTGTTTCCAGACAATTCAGTTCATCCATATATGTCTCTGATACCTTTCAATCTGCTACCCCCACACTGGAGCTCAGAGGAAGTGATTTTAAGTAAGTCTGTGCTTGAGCCCTTTAAGAGGAACTGCCTGAGACTCTAGAAGTTTCTGTTGTCCACAGTCTCAATACTTGCTGGGTTTTACAGCCAAAAGTTATAGAGACTTATCTTTGGCACTAAAATCCTGGGCTGGGATCCTAGTATGGGGCTGGTACCCCTTGCTCCTGATTTATCCCTCCTTATTTTTATCCATTACACATGGGTGTGGGACCAGCCTGTTCCACATCTCCGCCCCTCTGGTCTGTCTCAATGTGGTTTCTTCTTTATTCCATAGTTGGTTTCTTCTTCAGTTCCGTAGTTGTAGGACTTCCATTCAGCTCGATTTCTGGTGGTTCTGAATGATGGTTGTTTTATAATTTAGTTGTAATTTTGATGTGGTTGTGCAAGGAGGTGAGCCTTGTTTACCTATGCTGACATCTTGACCAGAAGTCCTGGTATTTTCTTTCCAGTCTTTTCATAAACTTTTAAAAAAACATATCGTTGACTCATAATATATATCCATTATCAATCAGATCACCTTTTTAAACTTTTTATTATAACACAATTTCCTATGTTCTTTACAGGCCTTTCAGTAATATTTTTTACTGATTAATAAAGACATTTTTATTAATACTGGCTCTGAAAATATAGGTATTAGTACCCCTATACTAAAACTTTCTTAGTATCAATAATATATGGTATAAGAAGAAGCCTTCAATGCTCAGGTAAGGCTGTGTGGTAGTTTTCTACAGTTACTGTTCATTTCCTGAACAGTACTTGGAGCTGGAGACACATACTGGACCAGAAATTCGAAGGGGGATCCCAAACACTAGGAATTTAGTTTAAAAAAATTGTGTGGTCTTTCTAATGCAATACACCTATGGAGATGTTTTTTCCACTGTTGAAAGAGTCTTCAAAAAAATTTCACTGAAGCCAAATGCAACCTCTCACAACAATGCCAGCTGGTGCACTGCAGATGGGTTTCCAGAACATTCACCCAGTGGGGGAGCCTGGACTACAAGGGACTGCTTGCCAGAAGATAATTCCAGGGTTTCTTTCCCCCCCCCATACAAGCTCACACTCTAGTAGGAAAAGTGGATGAGCATGCAGACCATGAACAGCATGTGCAATGAAGGAGCAGCTACTTCAGCTCAGGTGGTCTGGCCGGGCCTCTGAAGAGGGGTCATGACACTGAGACCCAAACAGAATCTCAGAGAAGTACGTGGTGGAGGAGGGACAGGAGGGTGGTGAGGGGCAGGCACCTCAGCACTGTTATTTTAGGGGACTCACTCCCCTCTCCCTGCACCCAGAGGCTTGGAGGCTGCAGGCCCCACAGCACACCTGCAGGGCCAAGTCACATGAGGAGTTCTCTGAAGTTGAACACTCCCTCACCAAGCAGTCCTTCCAGGCCCAACATGAACAGAACATTCTTTCCTGCTGCTCCAGCACTGGAAGGTCCTCAATGTCAACACAGTCCAGGAACCAAAGAGCATCTTTGTAGCATGGTTCCTGATCATCTAGTAGTATTTACTGGACAAGTGGTAGAAACAGCTGTTCACTGATGTCACACCTAGGAGGTTGTTGAGCATCTCTTTGACATCCTTGATTGTTTCCTTTGTAACTTGTAGGTCCCTGATGTTTAATTTTAGGGCTCCAATTGCAGTTTTACACAGGATCACCACCTCATTGCTACTTTTCACTTTCTCATGGGTCTTCTCCAGAAAAGAGCCACATTAGGATCTGTCATGTGTCTGACCACATGAAGGATGATCTTTACCAGGGACAATGGGTTTACCCTATGTTCAAATTCACTAATGAAGTTTTCATAAAGCTTAATGAGACCAACTCCTTGGGCAAAGCATGGTTCCTGCACAACATCAAGCATCTGAAGTTTCAGCTGATGCCACAACTTCATGTAGAGTTCCTCCAGATGGTACCACATGGAGGCCTGGCCGGGCCGGAGCTCTGGCTCTGCTGTAGAAAGCCAGCTGCATCCTTCATGATGGCAAAAGAACACAGAATTACAGCAACACTGAGAAGTCAGCACTGCAGGAATGGCAGCCAGAAGCGCTCACTCTCCAGGATTATTTTTAATGATAGCATAATAATGTACTTCTAAAAATATAATTTGCTTAACACTTCTTCCACTGGTGGATATTTAAGTCTCCTCCTATTTTTTAATGTTAAAAGTAATTTTATAAGGTGGTCATCTTTATGTAGGGTGTACACAAAGTCTGAAAATAAAAATGGCAAAATTTATTTCACAGATAAATGAAGTCTTTTGATGACAGTATGTATACTCACTTGTGCTTCCAGATTTTGTGAACATCTTTGTCTACATTTCAGATTTAATTCCTTAGTAAAAGAACATTCCGGCTGTGTTCCTGGCCATTGGAAACATGAAGAAGTCAGTCATTCTGATCATTCTAGGTCTCCTGATCTAGGAAACCCAGCATTGGCACCCTCTTAACCTTTTATTTCTCCTAAATGAGATGCCATAGCCCCTAACTTGAATTCCTCCTTAACAGTGAGACGGTGCCCAACTCTGAAACCACCACAGCATGGCTACCTCACCTGCACCTCAGGGGGAAACAACTACGGTGCCACCTGTGAATACCACTGTGATGGAGGTTATGAGAGGCAAGGGACCCCCTCCCGTGTCTGCCAGTCTAGCCGCCAGTGGTCAGGATCACCACCCATTTGTACTTGTGAGTAAAATTAGGGAATGGGGAGAGTAGACATATTGATCAGAGTAATTTGGAGGATCTCTCAATTTATATGACACATGAGTTCAATAGTTATGTGTATGATGTGGGAATGGGGAGGTGTTTTAGATGAGTTTATTTTACGGGCCAGTGTTCTCCTTCAGAATATGCCTACTCCAAGACAAAGGGTTTTAAATCTCTAAGTATTTTTTCAGGATTTTTCTCAAAAAAAAGGGAGAAACAACCAAAAAGGGTTAATCTGAAAGATTGGAATTCCTCAAGATGTTTTTACCCATGCTGGGGTGAAGGAGGAGTCCATAATCTAAATGGCAATCTGCTTCTGCCCTAGCTATGAAGATTAATGTCAATGTCAACTCGGCTGCAGGTCTTCTCGATCAGTTCTATGAGAAACAACGCCTCCTCATCATTTCGGCTCCTGATCCCTCCAATCAATATTACAAAATGCAGGTCTCTATGCTGCAGGTGAGACTCGCTCTACTAATTAGTTCTTGACTGCTTTATATACTCCCTAACCTCACCCCATTATTTCCTTATCTCTTCCAAATCAAATAGTTGCTCTTTCTGCAGCACAAACCCTACTTCAAACTCCTTGTGGACAGGATTTGATCAGTTTAACTCTACACAAATTTAGTACTTTTTAAAAATTGCTATGTTTTCACTAAAAAGACAGTAAGGGCACTGGAATTGTGGGTGTGACTTGAAGGGTGCTTGGTGAAGAGTAGAAAGGGATGTGGCAGAGCACTGTAGAGAGACTTATAAAACAGGTATGATCAAATGTAAATATTGGCATTAAATTATGTTTATGTTTTCAAGGAATAATGACATTAACAAATACTTAGGTGAGTACCATATAGATACCAAGTATATAAGGATGTACTTTACACATATTCATTTAATTCTCAAAACAACACTTAACAGGTAGGTACTATTACTATCCCCATTTTAAAGGTAAGGAAACTGAGGCATACAGAGGTTAAAGATTCGCCCAAATCACTGGCTTGTAAGTGACTAATCGAGAACTGAACCCAGAGAGTCTGACTTCAGGATCTGTACTCTTAGCCACCACACATAGCAGAAGAGAAGAAAAAGTATAGTGATATTTCAAAGTAAAATTAGGGAGTTGTACAATGATTTTTTATAGCAGGAAAAGAGAGCAGATTTATTAAGTGACAGTACACTCCACAGAACATGGGAGTAGGCCAACTCCAAACACAGATTGACCTCAGGGGCAGGAGGGATTCTAGTTTTTTTTTTTTGTTTTTTTTTTTTTACATTTCACTTTTTTGTTGACAATCTTTTTTTATTGAGATGTAATTGACATATAACATTATATTCTTGTCAGATGTACAACATAAGTCAATATTTGTATACATTGTGAAATAAATACCGCAATAAATCTACTTAACATTCATAACCATACTTTTTCTTATGATGAGAACTTTTAAGATCTACCCTCTTACTACTTGTAAATGTGCAATACAGTAGTGTTAGCTATAGTAGCCATACTGTATGTTCCATTCCATGACTTATTTTATAACTAGAAGTTTGTACCTTTTCACCACCTTGATCCATCTCACTCACCCTGCATTCCCTGTTTGTGGCAACTACTAACTGTTCTCTGTGCCTCTGAATTTGGTTGAAAGTTTTTTTAAAACGTTTTTTAATTGACATTCGAATACAGTTGTCTCCATTTTCCCACCACCACTTTCCCCTGCTCTACCCATGCCCACCTCCCACCCTCAATCCCACTCTTCCCTTGTATCCGTCCATGGGTCCCCCATTCATGTTAATTTACATCACTTTCCCTTCTTTCCCATGTTATTTCCCTCTCATCTCCCCTCTGGTTACTGTCAGTTTGTTGTCTATTTCAATGTCTCTGGCTATATTTTGCTTGCCAGTTTTTGTTGTTGTTGTTAATTATGTTCCACTTAGAGGTGAGATCATATGATATTTGTCTTTCACCACATGGCTTAGTTCACTTAGCATAATACTTTCCAGTTCCATCTATGTTGTTGTGAAGGGTAGAAGCTCCTTCTTTCTCTCTGCTGTGTAGATTTCCATTGTGTAAATGTACCATAGTTTCCTGGTCCACTCATTTACTGATGGGCACCTAGATAGTTTCCAGCACTTGGCTATTGTAAATTGTGCTGCTAAGAACATTGGGGTGCACAGGTTCTTTTGAATTAGTGTTTCAGGATTCTTAGGGTATAAATCCAGCAGCAGAATTGCTGGGTCAAAAGGCAATTCCATTTTTAGTTTCTTGAGGAAATTCCATGTTTTCCCCAGAGGCTGCACCAGTTTGCTTTCCCACCAACAGTGTACTAGGGTTCCCTTTTCTCCACAGCCCCACCAGCACTTATTGTTTGTTGATTTGTTTATGATGGCCATTCTGACCAGCGTGAAATGGTATCTCATTGTGATTTTAATTTGCATCTCTCTGATGGCTAGTGATGCTGAGCATCTTTTAATATGTGTCTGGGCCCTCTGTATGTCCTCCTTGGAGAAGTGCCTGTTCAAGTATTTTGCTCAATTTTTAATTATTTATTTATTTATTTATTTAGTCTTCCTGGAGTGGAGTCATGTGAGTTCTTTATATATTTTGGAGATCAAACATTTGTCCAAGTTATCATTGGCAAATATTTTTTTCCCATATGGTTGGTTCTCTTTTCATTTTAATGCTGTTTTCTTTAGCCATGAAGAAGCTTTTTATTTTGATGAGGTCCCATTTGTTTTTTTTTCTTTTATGTCCCTTGCTCTAGGGGACATATCAGTGAAGACGTTGCTGTGTGGAATATCTGCGATTTTCCTGCTGATGTTTTCCTCTAGGACTTTTATGGTGGCATGACTTATATTAAGTCTTCTATCCATCTTGAGTTTATTTTTGTGTATGGTTGAAGTTGGCGATCAAACTTCATTTTTTTTGCATGCATCTGTCCAGCTCTTCCAACACCATTTGTTGAATGAGCTATTTTTAGACCATTTTATCATTCTTCCCCTTTTGTCGAATATTAACTGACCATAGAGACTTGGGTTTATTTCTGGGCTCTCTATTCTGCTCCATTGGTCTATGCATCTGTATTTATGGCAGTACCACACTGTTTTGATTACCGTGGACTTGTAATATATTTTGGTGTCAGGTATGGTAATCCCACTAACTTTGTTCTTCTTTCTAAAAATTGCTACAGCTGTTCAGGGTCATTTATCATTCCAAATAAATTTTTGAAGTCTTTGTTCTATATCTGTGAAATATGTCATTGGTAATTTAATAGGGATTGCACTGAATGTATAAATTGCTTTAGATAGTATAGACATTTTGGTAATGTTAATTCTTCCAATCCATGACTATGGGACATGCTTCCATTTATTTGTGTCTTCCTTAATTTCTTTCTTCAGTGTTATGTGGTTTTCTGAGTATAGGTCTTTTACCTCTTTGGTTAGGTTTATTCCAAGGCATTTTATTTATCTTGTTGCTTTGGCAAATGAGATTCTTACCCTGATTTCTGTTTCTGGTGTTTCATTGTTGGTGTACAAAAATGCCTTCTATTTCTGAATATTAAATTTGTATCCCGCTGTTTTGCCAAATTCGCTTATTAGACTGAGTAGTTTTTTAGTAGAGTCTGTAGGATTTTGTATGTACACTATCATGTCATCTGGGAACAATGACAGTTTTACTTCCTCCTTTCTAATTTGGTTGCCTTTTATTTCTTCTTCTTGTCTGATCACTGTGGCTAGGACTTCTAATACAATGCTGAATAGAAGTGGTGAGAGTAGACATCCTTGTTCCTGATCTTAGTGGGAAAGATTTTCGGTTTTGCCCATTGAGTATGATGTTGTTTGTAGGTCTCTCATATATGGCCTTTATTATGTTGAGGAATGTTCACTCTATTCCCACTTTGCTAAGTGTTTTTATTATAAATGGGTGCTTACCTTATCAAAAGCTTTTTCCACATCTATTGATATGATCATGTGATTTTTGTCTTTCCTTTTGTTTATGTGATGTATTACATTTATTGATTTGCTACTATTGTACCATCCTTGCATCCCTGGGATGAATCCCACTTGATCATGGTGTATGATCTTTTTAATGTATTTCTAGATGTGGTTTGCCAATATTTTGTTGAGGATTTTAGCGTCTATGCTCATCACCAATATTGGTCTGAAATTTTCTTTTTTTGTTATGTCTTTCTCTGGTTTTGGGATTAGGATGATGCTGGCTTCATGAAAAAGAGTTTGGGATACTTTCGTCTTCTTGGAATTTTAGGAATAGACTTTGAAGAATAGGGCTTAGCTCTTCCTTAACTCCTTTGAAAAATTCTCCTATGACACCATCCAGTCCAGACCTTTTGTGTCGCAGGAGTTTTTTGGTTACTGCTTCGATTTCATCTGCTGTTATTGGTATGTTCAGGCTTTCTGCCTCTTCTTCATTCAGGTTTTGAAGATTATATTTTTCTATAAATCTGTGCATTTCACCTAGGTTTTCAAATTTCTTGGCATATAGTTCTTTGTAATAATTTCTTACAATCTTTTGTATTTCTATGGTGTCAGTTGTAATTTCTCCTCTTTCATTTCTGGTTGTGTTTATTTGGGTCCTCTCTCTTTTCTTCTTGATGAGTCTGCTTAAAGGCTTGTCAATTTTTTTATCTTTTCAAAAAACCAGATCCTGGATTTATTGATCCTTACAATTGTTTCTTTAGTCTCTCTGTTGTTAAATTCTGCTCTGATTTTGGTTATTTCCTCCTTTCTACTTGCTCTGGGCTCTCTATGTTGTTGTTTCTCCAGTTCTTGTAGATGTAGGGTTAGGTTATTTATTTAAAATGTTTTTACCTTTTTTTAGGTATGCCTGTATCACTATGAACTTCCCTCTCAGGACTGCCTTCACTGTGTCACATAAGTTTTGAGTTGTTGTGAGTTTATTTTCATTTGTTTCCAGAAACTTTTTAATTTTTTCTTTGATATCATTCTTAATCCACTCATTGTTTAATAGCATGCTATTCAATCTCCATGAGGTTGAGTGTTTTACATTTTTTTCCTTGGGGCTTGGTTTCTAGTTTCAGGCCCTCATGGTCTGAGAAGATGCTTTGTATGATTTTAATTTTCTTGAATTTGTTAAGGCTTGTTTTGTATCCTATCATATGTTCTATCTTTGAAAATGAACCATGTGCATTTGAAAAGAATGTGTATTTTGCTTCTTTGGGATGAAAGTTTTTGTATGTATCAGTTAAGTCCATTGGATCTAGGATATTGTTCAATGCTGCAATATCTTTTCTGATATTTTGCTTGTAAGATCTATCCTTTTTTGAGAGTGGAGTGTTAAAATCACCTAGTATAAGTGAAAGTTTTCTATATCTTTCTTGAAGTTCTCTAACATTTTCTTTATGTATTTGGGTGCTCCTATGTTGGGTACATTTATGTTTATAATGTTTATGTCTTCTTTTTTTCACTTCACAAATAATTATTAATAG